AACCTGCACATGAATCACATGCCAATTGGTTCGATGTGCGTTTAGCTTTTGCTTAACATGAAGATCTTGCACCTCATTTGTAAGTCTGAAGTTTCTATCTCGTTTTCAAATTGTCCCATCTTCGCTAGTCCTAGAATCGTGACCCTGCATCTTTCCGGCAAAATCCTTTCAAATTTGGCTAAAATATTAGATGTTTGATATTTTTTGCTGGTGACTTTAAATTATGATGTATATCTAACTGGAATCGCGCGACGTCGGCAGGTGAAATCTGTGCCTTGGCCACACGAAAGGATTTGTCCACGGAAGATTCTTCGTGCTGGTCTCGTAACGCGACGCACGCTTCGGGACGTTGGATGTCGTGCGTGTCGTATAGGCGCGACTTTCCGGAAGCTTTCTGTTCCTGTGGTTGAAATGTCAAGCGCGAGAAAACGGTCTAGTGGGGCTTGTGTTACGAGCTTTTCGTGTAAAGCGTACCTTTGCTGTGCTTTCTCTTTCTTTCTCTCGCGCTCTCACTCATTGCGTTCGTGTATCGTTTACCCTTGGTATGCTGAGATAGAGAATTTTCCCTTGGATTAATTCTCTTCTCTAATTCTACTGGAAGGACATCGTCATGAAAAGTTTAAAAAATCCTACATTACCCCAATCCACTTATGCTACAATGAAACGATTATTGAAAAATCTTGATATATTTTGTACATTTCATCGGTCCAACCTTGATACACTTAAACAAGAAGGAAAAGCCTTATAACTTTTCAAATTTTGCTTGTCCACTCTCTAAGCACTCAAACTACAGTATATTAACTCTAAAAAAATCGAATTTTTTATTTTTAGTCCGGCTACACGGCAACAATCATGACAAATAGGATATTTTTTGAACTTATGCCTGCCAATTCCTGCAAAGCCTCAAAAACACGATAACGTTAAAAAAACCAATTACATTGTGTACCGCTCCAATCCTGTTTTACTTATACGACAGCAAAAAGCCAGCTAAATTTTTTAAACACCCTGGACGAACCCTGCAACACTGAAACGACCGTGAAATGTCGTTATGAAAACGGCTCGCGGCTTGCGGCCTGACTCTTACAAAACCAGAGGCTTACGGGTAATGCCTTACAAAACCAGAGGCTTACGGGTAAAGCCTTACAAAACCAGAGGCGTACGGGTAATGCCTTACAATACCAGAGGCGTACGGGTAAAGCCTTACAAAACCAGAGGCGTATTGGCAGCGCCTAAAAAAACAAATGCATACTGGTGGTGCCGTACAAACCAAATGCATACTGGTAGTGCCGTACAAACCGAATGCGTACTGGTAGCGCCTTACAAATTCAGGCAGCTTAAGGCTGCCTGAAATCTTGCTTCAGAGCACACGGAGTCTATAACTTACTAATTAAGATGCGTCAGTACTGTAAATTGGATCCTTATGCGTCCAACTTAGTTTTTTTGTAAATGACCGATATATTCTCAGTAGTATAGACGCGTCGTACAGTAAGTTTGCTGTAGGCTTCTGCAATTGTAACAGGTCAGGTTACACACGTCGGCATACCCTGTATGATTTAGCGCTTGGTGCATGTAATTACAATATGAATCCATCGACGGGCTCGATGAGATCTCAGTTATTATCACACTTCTCGCGGCATCGCATGATATTGTTGCTGAAACTCGTGTCGTCACTAAAGAAACAGATTTGAGGTTTTTATCAGTACTTATGTGTATTTTTAAGGTGAGACGTGTCGGACTTGAACAAAGGGCAGTTGAATATTTTAAAGAAATATCGAATAAAACTAAAAAATTACGGTGAGATCTGGTTGATTCGGATTGAAAAGATATAATTTAATGCGCCTAAGTCTTCGTGTAAACGAAATCCAAGTAAATTGTGGAAAGTGCCCTTTAAATTAGTAGGGGCGGTTCAGATTCTGCTGCTGAATTTCGAACGTCAGCATTAATTAAAAGCCTCGAATCTTAACATTTTAGTGGCATCCTCGATCTCTAAGTCCAAGTGTTCCTTATTCCATGGTGATGTCTTTTTACAGAATTTCATAATTTAAACACCTTGTTGCGATTAAAGGTATGAATATTCCTGTTAGCTAGAAAGTTTCGCTAGAAACGTGTTGAAAAGTAATAGTACTGGCACCATCGCTCACCAATATTTTACTTACAATGTAGGTGATATAAAAGATATTTTTTTACCTATCCTAGGAGTATTGTATAAATAAAATTCTATGCTTAATCGGCATTAATGTCAAGTACCTACTATTCAATTCTTAATCTGTTTTCTTAAGGTACTTGACGTAATCTGTTTTCTTTTAAGGTATTCTTAATCTGTTTCTATTCTTAACTGTTAAATATTTTCTTTACTTTCAAATCAAAATGATTCTTTACTATTTATGATTAAATTGCGATAATGGTCTTAAGGTGTCACTTACTGTGGTTTTCACCAGGGTATCTATCGAGATGTCAGCATCAAATAATGCGCTAGCTGATCTGAGTTGAGGAGTCATAACCTACTAAATCGATGACCTTTATTAGCTTAATGGTGTAGCTACGTCGATATCTTTGCTCATGTGTAACAGTGTACTAATAATTTCGGTTCGAATCCTCCATTAACAGCTTGTAGGACAACATTTTTGTTATATTAAATTTAACATGTCATTATCAACTCTCTAGAAAGTGCAATGTACGACAATATCTAATGTACGAGTCGCAACGCGTACGGCGCGCGGTCGCTATTAATTAATTGGTATCGCGTGACGTGCGCAGCGGCTATCAAACATTTGCCTGCAACGTAGATGTCCGGCGGCACCGTCTCGACCCTCCAGGCAAATGACGTTGATTACGAGCTGATCTAATTGGAACAACGCTAATCAATTTTATTTCAACGTCAAATGCCTGGTGGGTCTGTACCGTCACTCTGTGAACGATCGTCCCGCTCTCCCACTTTTTGCTCGCGCCCGCTACTGTTATACGAAGCTGCTTGAGGCACGGAACTTCGTATGCAGGAAAGTCGTACATTGTCTACTGATGTCACGACAGTCGATAAAAGTAATTAGACATTATTATCATCTGTTTTTTCCAACGAAGGTAGAAAGTTTGAATTTCACTTTAGCTCTAGAGGTTGGTTTTTCTTTTACTATTTCCCAGTTATGAGTGGTTAACCTTTAGGGGTGAAATCGAGTTGAGCGTGAATTTAATTATATTTAAAAATTTAGTTATTCTGAAAAAATGTTGCTGAAATGAACTGAAATTAAGTGAATCATTTACGTATGCTAAATTTCACATTTGTTTTCCAGAACTCCTACCTGTTTAGGGTTTAAATTCAATGAAATTTGCAAAATTTGTTAGTATCATATAATAAAAAATTGTATGGCCTTTGATTCTCTATCGAATCTTCGAATTCTTATTCGTTACTTGCCTATTAGCTGGCAAGTCTATTTTGTACAAAGATGTGGACGTTGGCTGAAAAATCTCAAATTAATTTCTCGTGTGTGAATACTATGCCGGAACTGAAAAGTCGACAATTATCCCAGAATAAAAATTAATGAAATCAAGTAGATCATCGAAAAATTCTCCAGCCAACTTTTGTCGTAAGTTTTAATGCGTGAATTCCTAGAATCCTAAGAAGGGAAATTTCTTTTATTTGCTTTATTTTATTGGATTAACATTTGATTGCATTTGTTATCTCCATTCGTGCTTCATTTCTTTTATAAGTATTTTACTTTGAAAGTGTGAAGTCAAATCGAGTTAAGTCACAATTTTCCCAAGTGCTGTGAGACCCATCGCTCTGCAACTGATGTATTTTTAACAGAACTGAACTAGTTTGTCTCGGCAATGACTCGATGAAGTAGTTTTTCCTTCGCATTGTTTGAAAGTTTTTATTAAGTGCACTTTCTGTTCCCTGTTAAAGTGAGTGAGGAGTGAAGTGTGGACGTAGGGCCAAGTGTCTTACCATGGAAAGCATTTTAATCTTAGACAGTATTTTATGGACAACATTTTAAACACGGACAACATTCTATGGACACTAATTAAAATGTATCAACGTAATCTGATAAAAATAATTGAACCGCGACTACGAACGTAAGCATCTTCCCTCACTCCGGAAATTCAGTCTGCCTATACAGAGGCCTACGCTCTTACCACAGCTGATGTCTGATGTACGACTGACCGCTTATCGTTGCATTTTCCATTTTATCGCAGTTATCTCTAACGCCAATGAAAAAAACTGTAAGATTACCTCGACTTTTAAAATCAATTTATTTGTCATGATCTTTTTGCAAGGATCGTCCCTGCGCTTCACTAGTGAGAGACGAAGAAAAAGGATGTATTGGTCACATGTACAATTGTACATACGCTTTTCCGCCTCTGACTTAACTTCTTGATTACCTTATAAAGCTGGCAGAAAATTTTAAACTCCTGAATGAATACATCCTGCTGAGCCCAGACTAATATCATAAAAATGTGTTGCTTTTTGAGAACGAAAAATTGAATATATTATTTGCACCTAAATTTGGCTTCGGGTAGAATTGTCTTGGGAGTTTGCTTATCAAACTGCACATTTTTAAAGAACATTTAGAAAAGTATTGTCAAGAAGCTATTTTTCTTATACTCGCATTTATAATAAACTTGTAACTACCGGTATTTATCAAGAATACTTCGTTCTTAAGGGATTTCTCGTTTTTTGGAATTCTTTGTTGACGGTCGAATCTTTTTAAAATTCGGTGGCCATGTGTTTCCAGTCTTCACCAACCGTTTTCGAGTTGTTCTTAGGGCTATATAAGGGAGTGGCTTAACTTGACTGTCATTTAAGACAAGTTGTAGCAGACGGCGCGGTGGTTCTCACCGACCGTTACAACCGAGTTCTCCCACGCCCCATGTTTGGCGCAATTTAATTCTCTTCGTCGAAAAAGTTTGAGTCTTTCGATTAACATTATTAATCAATACAATATTCTGTATGGCATTTAACTTCTGTACTTTCTCTTTTACAAAATCTATATTTTTTCTTTCAGATCGACAACGACCAGGAGGGAGAAATTAACTCGACTGCTCAGCGGGCAGGCGGATCTCGTTGTGAGTCGTGCACTTCCCAAGACCAGATAATCACAAAAAGTTACGATGTCGCAAGATTTAATAGTCAGTACCTCAACAAAAACGTCAACAGCTTGAATAAATGTTGCTCTCCCGCCAGGTTCAGTGACCTGAATTTACGAGACCCCGAGCTAGGCAAGTCATTGCAAAGAAGAGGAGCAGACAAGCATGCAGTAATGCTCTTCGATTGTAAATGTTTTCCAGCTCATTGTATATGTCAATCTAGATTAACTCTTGATAAATCTCAAACATATTTACCTATAGATATTTCATTATGTAGCTCCACTGGAGTTGAATATGATTACTCAGACGTGAGTAATCGGAGTAATTATTACAAGGAATACCCGGCAATGGCCGCTGTAGTATCCAATTCATATAAACCGAAGAAGAAATATTCGAACTTCCATCGGCAACAGTCACATGCTCCCTGCACTACCAGAAGTTCTCGGATGCGATCAACTTTACCGCCTCCGAAATCCGGCAACGTGTCATCTTGTTCATGGAAGACGAGGCCCGGCTCGTGGGTGTCGATGGTATGGTGCGCTTTGGCTCTCCTCGTGGCGGTGATGCGGCCGTTCGAGGTGGTGCTTGCAACTCCTGTGCGGGTGCCCAGTTCTGCTGCTTGGAGGAGTCGCTCCGTCGCTAGAGGTCAGATTCATAACATCTTAATTTACTGTTCGATTAGTTTCTATTCTTAATCAGTATTTTCAATGACTAAATAAACATCAGGTAATGCCAACAATTGATTTATCACGAATTGAAGATGTTTGTAAAGGCACTCGATAGTTTTATTGAAGTATGCTTTTAGGTTTGTTCTTTCGACATTGGGCATTTTTTCCAATAAATATCTTGGAAGGAAAATATTCTTAGAAATCCGAGTATCAATTAATGTGAGGAATGCCGACGAAAAAGTTAAAATTCGCCTGATTTTGTTATTCACGAAGTATTTCTGCACGCAAGTGATCGACATCCATCGTTTGGTGAGGAAACTTTGAGCAGGCACAGAATATGTAGAACTCGAAAAATTAATAAGTTAGGAGGTTATTGGTAGCCACGAGGCAGTGGGGTGCTAAAAAGGAAATCCTTCCTCACCCTCTCATTTGCATTCCCATAAGTCACTCGCGCTGTTCCTGTCTTGCCGGATGCTTGAGTTTCGTCGAGTCATTGTTTCATAGAGTTCGCTAACTCTCTTCAGGGAGAGAAGTGGGAGAGACCCACACACACACTCGGTGAAGCTGGCTTTCCATGACACTGCGTGTACGCCGGTCGTGTCCAGTGAAAGCAAAGCCTTCGTGCCTCGACGCGCGCGAGATAATTTGACTTCCGCCAGAAAGACCTTCATTAGCTTAAGATGATGATGATGATGATGGCCTGGTGGCCATACTTCGGGTGTCACACCACGATACGGGCTTGTGCTTCATTAGGATTCTTAATGGCTTAGAGGGAGAAATTACTCATTAACTTCGTTGACCACGTCTTTTAAGTCTTCTTCATCTTGGCCGCCATCCGATCTTAAAACCTGTGGAAAGTTGGGATGTGTATATTCTCGGATTATATATTAATTAATTCATGAACATGAAATGTGACTAAACACATTACTTTAAGGGACTGAAGAATGATCGATGTAATAAGCTTTTGGTTCTTGGGTCAATATGAGTGCGTTTATTGAAATTATCTATTACCTCTTTTTGTTGAAGCTGTCGAATTTTTTCTATATTTACTCAAATAACATATGTTACACGCCGGTGGCTGAATTCAAATTTTCTTAATGGGCATTCTGTACGTCATGCTCAGTTGTTCAAATTCAATTTTTTTTATCAACAACCAAAGAAATAGTGAAACTCAATTCGTGTCGGGCTATGTATGAGGTTACTTCCTTTTTTTAGAAATGAACCTTAAAACCAGCCATTCGCATCGGTTGCGCACCGTCGTGCGCATCGACTGTCAAGACGCGCTCAGCTCTCAGTGCCCAGCTTAGTGTGAAGTTTGACGTAGCAAAAATACTTCAAGTGTATGTAGAAAGTCATTGAAATATTTCAAATGCATATAGAAAGTTGAATAAATTCTTCAAACGGAACTTAAAAGTTTCGATAAAACTTCCGAGGCAAATAGAAAGGTGGCAGCTGGCTTACGTTTTCTTTGTTGACGACTTATACTTATTGGTTGTAGCGTTGCTTCCTTTTACACCCCATAAAATATTTCTATTGCATACTTCAGCGGGGATGTTTATACGAGTATAATAGGCGACAATATCTCATCAGCGTTCTCTCCTTTCTCACGCATATTGCCATTCTTCATAACTTGCCAGTTTACCTTATGTTTCGAGTAGGACACTTACAATTTCTCACCGACCCTAATTATTATCACTAGCAACCAGTTGAGGTGTATCAGATATGGCTTGAAATATCGTTGCAGAAACGTTCGTATTGTTTTCTCTGATGCTCATTTCATTGAGTGTATTTGAGAAGAATCTGAATTGCCGATATTGTTGTTCAAACATGTGCCTGTAATTCATTTCATATCCCGGTGTTTCCAAATTTTAAGTTTTATTCTGACGAAATACTTGAATTATTTTAGTTACATGAAAATAATGATATTTACTTTTTTTTCTGTAATGTAGCAAAGACCTTTTTTAAGAGATACTGAAAGTTTTGTTGAGGTTTGTATGAAAAATTCATCTACAGACGAAAAACGGAATCAAGCCAAAGATTTAAAATTGTGACATCGTTAAGTTTTTTCAAATGATTGTATATTAAAGCGCCTTTTTTTCTCCTCGAGCCACTGCCTACAAACCGATGTATAACCTCTGAGCTTTTGAGGTCCATTTTCGCACTTGCATTTAATGTTCAAGAACTTTGTTACAAACCATGGACTTTCCAAATAATGCATTACTTTTGTTTTTGTATACAAAATTTATAATCGCGAGAGGTATTATACATTTTATTTTTGTTGATTTAGTGCTGACGGAACTGCTGATAATATATCCGAGCTTTCGTGAAATTCCAAGTTTAGTCAATAAAAAATAGTAAATGGATTTGGTATATTCTCAGAATTAGCAATCAATGTCCCCCATTTTGCGAGGGTATCTGACTCAAAATTTACAAAACAGTAAGTTCGCCCATAAATGTGGCAGAATAATTTCTTGTTCAACTAAATTTTGGCCGAAGACGCTTTTTTTCTATGCTTGACTCCGTTTTGGAATTACATTTATTAATTAATAGCTGTTGAGGAACGGAGTGGAAGTCACCACTCGGTCGCGATCGATGCTCTGTTCCATTAATTCTTGCAGGATAATTTTCAAGCGGTAAGCACAAAATCTATGAGCTAATTTTGTCTTAAGCAGAAATCGCCGCTTGTTGTGGTGCATCGGTGTACTTCAGAACCTTTATGATAACGAATACCGTTGAAGAATTTTTTCCCTATTAAAATTATAAACCCAGTCCAGCGATGGGTCAATGGTCAATGTTCTATTCTCGTGGATTCTTTCTTGTGTTCAATACACGGAGAATGCATTGCGTCCTGTACACTTACAATGTACTTGCTCACATTTCACACGTATAAAAGATTGTTCTTTCCAGTGTAGAGATTGAGAAAGCTGCGGCCAAGGTAGACGGTTGCTTCTTCTTAACAAAGATGAGCATTTTGAAGGGTATTGTAGGTATAGACATGTAGATATCTTTATAACGTGCCAGATTTGCCGCATCATTGCTCCATCTCGAGGGCAGTTAGAGATAATGACAATCTTAAAGGCTTCAGAGCCTATTTCGAGCTTTGTTGGTTTCTAAAACACTAGTCTAGCAGATCAAATAAAATGGAAATCTTCCTTACTTGATCTTCGGCTGATTTAAGTATGAAATGAGAAGTACAACCATGTTATTTACAAACAAGTTGTTAGACAGAATTTAGAGAAATACTTGTATTGCAAAGAAATTGTTAAAATGAATTTATGGTTATAAAGAAAATTTTATAGCTTGCTCATCTAAAGCTCCTTCGATACTTTTTTTTTATTCTGCAGTGACTATATCGTGATCTGTGTATACCGTGCACATTGCATTAATTGGTGTGATTCGGCAGAAGCCTTTCTTTTATGCAAATTTGACTGAAGACAATGATGTGTCATACTTGTATTTTTTTTATCTCCAGGCGCCAACAAGAAATTTTTTTCGACTCGTTGAAAAACAAATAAGATTATTAATAAAAATCATCTTCTGGTCTTCAATCAAATTACATTAATTCTTCTTAAATTGCACATAATTTTGCACACACAGTGCGTGAACTGTGCGCATATTCTGCAGGATGATGTTCTCGTGTACGACTATCATCTGCATGAGCCATGCGCATATTAAAGGAGAGTTTATTTCCATGCACTCATTACTTGTATGAACCGTGCGCATACTCAGAGAGATGTTCCCGCGTATCGACCTACTATAACACTCTCTCTCACTCTCTCCGTGTATGATTGTGCTCTTACCCACCATTGTATTTTTACTTTTGCTCCTTTTGCATTTATGCTGCCTCGCTACCATGTACAATTGTTGCAATTTTCAACACATTTCGCGCGTAATATATTTGACCAGATGCGCAACACACAGGCAAGTTAAATTGGCGTAAACGATTTATTCGCGTTATGTTCTATAATGCTTAACTAGTTTTCACCACTACATTGTTTCTACATTTGCGACGTTGAGCTTGCGGATTAGCAAAATTCATCATCGATTCTTTACCTAAAATCACGATTATAAGGTGTCTGAATAAAATTATCACGACGCAGTAAAAGTGCATTTCCGAACACTTTTTCCGAATTTCAATTTAAGTGTCGTTGTACCGTTTAAGTTTATTTGTTAGATAAATGATCTGCATTAATGGTTGACATTTCGTATTCGACCTTGGTCACTTGAGTGTTCATTTTCTTACGGCATGTATGACGGCAGAAAGCAATTGTTGTATGGTCCTGCCCTCGGCATTTTCAGTGAAAGTATGACAAACAATCGCCCCCTAACGAAAGCACTCACTTTCTTCAGTCGTCGACGATTTCTAATAGTCGCTTCTTACGCCGCGCTATTTGTTTCCCTTGACGCATTGAAAGCAAAGTGCCACGAAAACTCTTCGTTTGTCATCCAGTTTGACTTCAATATGCTGAACACTCGAACAACAAAACATAACCTGATTCGCCGGCTGCTCTCCTTCTATTTCGTCCAGTATATTTATCTTTGTATCCATTTCATCAAGTATATTGAACTATTCATTTATTCTATCTAGTATATATCTTTGTCTCTATTACATCTAGCATATTCATCTTTGAAGTGAAAGTTTGTGCAGTGGAGACAAGGTACCGGAAGCAAGTTCGCGGCTCCAAGGAGAAGGGAGGTTTGGGCACTAATTATTAAGATGGTCTTTTTTCGCTTGTTCAACTATTTATTAGAGTGATTGGTTCTAAGAAACACACGTAGGTTAACTAATAACTGTTCAGTTAAGTATTTCAATAAAATTATTATTAAACTGATTTGAATTGAAGCAAATTCAAGAATTAAATTGTTGTGGGTCATCTTCGTCTGAACACATCACGTTTTACCAACTCGTGCTTTCTAGGAAATCGTTTACAAGTGCAGGATCTGCGTTGTTAATTGCATAAAGTTGAAAGCTCAGTAGTTATTTAGATGTGAAACTAACCCTACTTATTATAGACATATATTTAGTTAACTGAAAGGCTGAAATGAGTCACCTGAGAAGATATTTTTAGCTGCAATTCATGTGGTCCTGAAAGATAACAGACGTCGAGTGAATATTCGACATGTCTAGCGTGGAGCGAGCGCAATGTAAAGGCGCGTGTTGTGCCTGTCAATCCTCTGCTTTACGGAGTCAGACTTTCTTTTATACAGACCTTATTTGTAGAGCGTGAGTTGCATCATCAGAAGAGTGAACGGTGATGAAGCAAATTTAATCTTGGATACAAGGTCCCGTTATCTAACAAATTTACTGTAAGTGCTTTCTAAACTATACTCCTAAGTTTTGCATATTGCTTCTCTTCATGAATGAATATTTGAGATGAAGCATTTGAAGTTTGATGACAAATATGGACTTCTGAATCGCCGATTTGCAAGTTTTTTCTTCTCACTTGATGAGCGAAATTTGGAATTCAATCTACGACACGAATTAAATTGTTACTGTACTTAAATTGCAAGTGACGGGAAAATTTATGAGGAGTGTATGATTTTTATATTGCCATTAGAACTACCAGTTTTTATAGTTCTATGTCAGTGCTTATGTTCTTTGCATATAATATTGAAACTTTAAATGAATATTTTGTGTCAACAATCCTTTTAATTTTGGTTGAGAAAATTCCAACACTTTACGAAGCCAGGGGCCGGATTATCAAAACTTCGTAACTATTTGTACTTACGACAAAAAAGTTCTGTGGTACTTATATACATCCTAATTTTTGCATTATCAAAACTTTTGTACGCAAGTCTTAGCTAAAAACCTAAATTTTTTTCCCGCGCAAATGTTTTTATAATACCACCGCTAGTATTACGTTGTCATAGCAACGCCACTCCAAGTATTGTCCAAGTCGATTTTGCGTACTTACGAAGTTTTGATAATACGGCCCCTGGCTTGCAGTCACGAGCACTCCGCGCGCTGTGCAGCGCGGCAGTCGCGCGCCTCTCTCCTCCGCCGCGGTCGACACTCGCGGGGCGGATCTCCGACTACCGCCCAAATTTCTCGAGCTGCAGCGGCTGTCATGGCCCGGATTCTCGTCACAGATCCGGAGTCGCGGGCGCTCCGCTTAGCGAAAGTTGTCGAGATTTGCGTCACATACTGCTGCTGCTGCTGCTGCTGCTGCTGCTGCTGCTGCGGTAGCTCAGCGCCTCTTTTGTGATAGTATGCTCACGTACCTGACGAATTTTAGTGCACTACTTTCGTGGTAATGTTCTCACGTACTTGGTGAGGTAGTCTTCTCGCGTACCTGACGAATTAGTCTTTTCACGTATCTGACGACTTTTAAAGCAATTCTCGGAAATCACGTGTCCCATCAACATGTACAAAAATGACAATCAAGACTGGACTTCTCTGCGATCTATGTGGGTCTAGATATTATTTCACGACTCTTTCTTTATAATGGTTTGCTTAAATTTTTCCGTGATGCTTTAGTTTCTAGTTCGTAAAAGTTAAACCATCATTTCACTCAGTATGAGGGATTTTTTTAATCGTTATCACCCTGACTGACTTTTTGCAGCAGCTTTTAATTAATTATTACATTAAAATGTTTTGGAGATTTTTTGATAATATATTTAATTGAAATAAAATTTTTATTGCTTTCATTTAAAGAGTAGAGTGAAAGACTGTGAAGAAGAAGAAGAAAAATACACAACGAATTCTCGGGTTAATATTTTCTTATGGATAAAATATTCTAAGAGAGTCGTGCGCTTTGCACGATCTATTTTTTGTGAGTCTTTTTTCTAATTTGATGGAATTACGCCGCAAATTAGACGTTAGTGTTATGAAGGCAAAAGTTTTCTCATTGAGATGTCGTAGAACAGTATGTTATACGCATGGTTTCGAAAGCGAGTATCAGAATCTCATATATTAGCGTTAATATCACATATGCTGTAGTATTAATTGTAGTCGCATTAGAAAGTGTGCGGTTCGAAAAAGTAATGTCGAAAATGAGCACGTTATATTTCTTTTACTGAAATTTATTCCGCTGAACGTTTGCCCAATTTGTAACATTAATGCAGTTAACGATAATTTTGTTTGCAATGATTCTTCAATTAAATTTGCAGCTCGTAGTGTTTAGGTGAAATTGCACTTAAGGGGATTCCGCGACCGCTTTTGCTGTTAATTGAAGAATGGCAGCAAGAAGCACCAAGTCACTGCAAAGTGTGTGTCTTACACGTTTATTCAGAACTCGATGCACAAGTCCATTGCGCATTGGAAAGCTGGCGCATCCAGTACCCCAGAACAACTTCTGCCGGTACAGTACTTGTAATCTTATTTTTGACGACCTGCTTCTGCAAATATTTTACTTTCTCCGGGCTCAAATTCTGCACCGTTATTTGGAACTTAGACGATTTCTAACGAAAACGAAAGTTCTTTCAAAGCGACTCACCGGTTTAGTTAAAAGCGATTTAACAGTGAAAGTATTGAATTATCAATTTGTGGCAATATCACCTCTTTTCACTAACTTATAATTTTGATGTTAATATTAAAGTTTCATATTACTGGGCTGAAGCTATTACTTACGATAATCATTTTCTTCCCTATTACGTGGTTAGATATATTCTATTTCTGATGGTGACCGATATTTCTAATTTCAGAGCCTTCCATGAGCGTTGGAGAAGATAAACCGCAAGAAAAACTAGTTACATCATTACACTTAATCACTGTTGGAAGTTCAAACCGTTCGTAATAAGAGTAGTCAGTGTCTACTATTATTGTCAATTACTGATGATGTGTTAATGTATAATACGTTTGTTTTCAGAGAGTCCGTGGCTGGGTCACACCAGAAAGTTGGACATCAAGCGAACGCGGTGCAGCAGCAGCTCAGGCGACACTGGCGTCTGCATGTTTAACTTCGAGTGTCTCCAGCGCTCTGGGAATCTCATCGGCACTTGCATGGACGGCTTCTTGTTTGGAGTTTGCTGCAAACTTTCCGACTTGTCTTCGGCCGATGAGCCCTTGGTGATGAATAACCCTTCCACCACAGAAACAGACTCCTCTTTGATAGCGCATGATATTGAAAACCATTCAGAACTACAGCCATCGACACAGAAAATGACACCAACCCTATTCACTTACCCAGCAAAAAATTCCGTGCTGCTTACCAAAACTAAACCCAACAATACGGTTCTTTTATATACATCCGGATCCATATCGACGGATCCTTTAGATACTAATTCTAAAGAAATTCCTGCTTCAGCTCTTCTCAACGAACAGCAGAAGAACCGCACCAAAGATGCCCCTATATCCACCACCACCTTACTAGCTCTTAATGGAGAAGTTTTGTCTAGCTTGAACACTTCCAACATGCCTACTATTCACATTAGCACCAATGACATGAATAAGCCTACGGCTTCTGAACCTTTGACAGAAAATAATAAAACGGAGACTGACAACTATATTGGGGCGAAAATTTTCCAAACTACTTCCCGTTCTAGCGATTCATCAGGAGCTTCAACGCCTGAACCACTACTTATATGGACATTGGAGCCACAGACTCCAATATTGGGTTTCAAGCCTCCAACTTCAGTGTCAGCCAGTATTAAAGTGGGTTTTCCAACCGTGTCTAAACATAACTTTGGGATTAGTGCGTTTATGACTGTTCCCAAGCTTCCTTTCGATGCCACTTCACCAATATCGCTCGATGGCAGTAGTAATCAACCAAGTACGTCAACATATTCTGAAGAATTTCAGGATGAAAATGAAATTGAAGATTCCACTTCTTCTTACTTGGTGAGGGCCAAGCCCAACAAACGAGTTTCTTCTTCTGAGATGAAGTCCACAACAGAAACACCAACCACAATTTCGTGGCTTGACTCTTATAACCTAAATGAAAATGAAATCGCCCAGAAACCTTTGAGAAAACCCGCACTTCAACCCATTCCTAAGACTTCACTCGAAGTAGATGATACAACCGATGCACTACTCTTTTGGACAACTTCTAAGCCTAGCCTAAGGCCCCGACCCACGAGCTTCTCATCGAGTTCAGTCGAGAAGCAACCGGTTATCAAAATGAAAGTTCCTAGCTTGTTGTTGCCAAGTAAGCCTTCCAAGAAAAATAACGTTAGTGCAGAAGCATTGATAGACGATATTATTGAGAGTATGTCTAGCGCCCTCCTTGACGAGGAAGTCAAGAGGAGAAATGAGTCCTTAACACTCATGACGATTCCGAGTTCTACACAGACGTGGGCTACTTCGACGTACCCCATCCTTCCGCTGGACATCGATGTTGCAGAGAACACCATTGATCTGGACAGCTCCGTTATAAAAACAACAACTACACTTTCAAGTGAAGTAATTTCCCTCACCTCAATTACTCCTAAACCCTTAATTAAAAAATCTTCATCGACTCGTAAACCATCAACCACAACTAAACCATTATCAACCACCACCGCATCAACCATAACGACGCCATCATCGACTGATACTCTGAATGAACCCCAAGCCGCCACTGATGCCAGCATTTCGGGCACCACTCCCATTGACGAGTTCATTGAGAGTTTACTCAATTCTTTGATGATGTCGAACACATCCATGGCTCCTCCAATTGATCTCGATTTGATTCAACAGGTAAAAAAACTTAATTAATCATCAATTACATTAATATTATGCGATTATTTTGTCATACTCAAAATTTCCACATTTTTGACTGCTGTGGCACGCGTTTTGTGCTATGAAACTTATTTTAAGCTTATATATCAAGTCAATTATCATATCATAGTGATGTCAGCGCTGAAGAGTAGGCTTGATGGGGCCTGTCGCCGATTCTTGTACTTTTCGTAACTTGTTCACAGGAGTTCAAAGAACAGGTCCTTCGACCGGATCTTTTCCAAACAGTCGCTAGTTTGAAATAGCTACTAGACTTCCACCAGGTTCGATATGGTGCTTGGCATTGTAACGGCAAATTTTCTTCTGATGTTAATCAATTTTTCAGATGTTAAATGGCTCAGACGTTGGTTCAGTTGAAGACTTGGGGGCAGCAATGGCCGCCATCGCTACATTTGCCAACATGAGTGTCAACGCCATGAAAGACTCCGCTGAACTCGGCACATCTGTTCCCTCGTTGACGACGCCTTCAACCACAACTGAAGTGTCAACTACCAAATCAACTACCAACAAGGCAGCTACCAAGCCAACTACCACCAAGGCCACAACCACCAAGGCCACAACCACCAAGCCAAATACCACCAAGGCCACAACCACCAAGCCTAGTACCACAAAAGCCACCACGACCATCAAAACAACTACTGTCAAAACTACCACCAAATACACTACTCCTTTCACTATCCCGGCAAGAACGCCAAGCTCTACATCGTCAACAACTACCTCTACTACCACAACTACATCTACTACCACGACTTCACCTACCACCACTACACTCTCTACATCGACGTACAAGAATTGGGACTGGCGCACGAGTAAGTCGCGCTAGTGCTCACTTCTTTTAAATTCAGACTGTTGTGTTTTGAGTCGCTCACATTATGTATAGTTTTATTTCGATGACTTGTCACAATTTAGTTTCACAAATGGTAAAGTTTGATAAAGTATTACCAAAAATTGCCGCCAGTGCGTTAACGATTCTTTTCATTGCTAAATTCTCTTTAATGAGTCATTAACGAATGCAGCCTTATTCGCAACTGCACTTATCGTCTACAAAAATCGCAAAAATCGACATAGTAATCAGAATAAATCTTTTCCATTTACATCACAAATACGAATGACAGTTATGAACATTAATTAACTGTTATCAGGTTGCAGGTTCTCTGTCTACGCTAGTAGGCGGTGCGTTTGTATTGCTCGTACAAAACAAAATTTCTGACCCTTTTCAAAGTTTGACCCCTTCCGAAATTTCTGAAATTAAATTTCGCGACCTCTTCCAAAATTACTGTTTCCTATTGTACAGGAAATATTCAATTATATATTCAATTATAGTAAATATTGCGAATTTTTTGTTATTATTTTGCGTTTGAATCTTGAACTTTCTGGAATTTTTACTTTATTTTTTTTTTATGTTTCAAAACTGATTTAATTTCATAAATTATTAATGCATAACTACAGGTTGCGGGGTGCGGCCGCTGTCGCGCACCGGTCGCATCGTGAACGGCGAGGAGGCGGCGTTCGGGGTGTGGCCGTGGCAGGTGCTCGTCAAGGAGTCCACGTGGCTCGGTCTCTTCACTAAAATTAAATGCGGGGGAGTGCTGCTCAACGATCGCTACGTCCTCACTGCAGCTCATTGCCAGCCGGGGTCTGCCGTGTTCTGATTAAAACTTTGTTGTGATGATAGTAGACCAGGGTCTGGGATTTATCCAGATGAAATTTTGATTTCATCATAATTCATAAAGTTATGTGTTTTGAACGTTCTGACATATGAGTATTCTGAGAAGATTAGAGAGCTAGGACTTGAACAAGTTCGTGTGTTATGTGAATGAATGATTTTCTTTTTTTTAACAATGATTAATATTTGATCAACAACATTTGCCAAGAGGGGAAGATAAAAGAGCCAGGATTCGAAATAGGGTTTAGCGTTATGTGAATTACTGACTTCCTTTTTTACAATTTACTTGTATTTTATCAACAACATTTGCCAAGAGATTTTGACCTGACTATCAGATTCCTGGCGTCCTTAATTGTGGTTCTGGGCGACTTTGATCTTTCTGGCGACTTTGAACCCGCGGCAGCCGTGGAGCGCAACGTGAAGCGCGTGGTCGTACATCGTGGCTACATCGCGCGCACCTTTGACAACGACTTGGCTCTGCTCGAGCTTGACAAACCTGTCAAGCTTGCCGAGCACATCCTGCCAATCTGCCTGCCTGAGACTGACGACGACTACGTCGGTCAAGTCGGCACCGTCACAGGCTGGGGAAGACTATCCTATGGTAAGAGCAACGACGTGCAGGAGGAAATGAATTTTTCTTGCCTTAACACTGATCGAAATTTCGAAGGGAATGAACCAAATGCGTATTTAGTTATAAATCATACTGCTTTGAATGCCAACGAAACTTAATATATTCAATTTCCATTATTAATTGATAAAGCATATAGTTGATTTTTTGTAATACTGCGGCTAAGTGTACATAATCTCTAACAAGGTTTTTAATTTTATAGGTGGAAATGTGCCGAAGAAGCTCAACGAGGTTCGATTGCCCATCGTCCCCAACGACGAGTGCCAGTCTTGGTTCCGTGAAGCGGGGCACGGCAAGAAAATCAAACCCGAGTTCATGTGTGCGGGTTTCAAGTCTGGCGTGAAAGATTCTTGCGAGGTGACTTAACTAGGATTTATTAATTTCGTTTGTTAACTAATGACTGAAATAAAAAGGGAATAATTTTATTTATTTTCTTGATTGAGAGCATTCATTGCTTACACTATCAGTACCGAATTACTTTTTATGCGAGTACGTAGTGCATGATCGAAAAAAACGGTAAAAAAACGATCGAAACGGCGTTCTAGTAGCCGGTTGTCCCTGCAATAAAACCATTTCACCTTTTTTGTGGAATTTACGAGTGAAACTCGAACTGTCTTGGTTGAATTTTACTTTATTTTTACAGTTTTCTGAACTGTGCATGTTCTCTGCAGGGTGACAGCGGCGGTCCCCTGGCAGTACGCGGACCGGACGGGCGCTGGGTGCTGGCGGGCACTGTCTCCCATGGTATCAAGTGTGCCTACCCCAACCTGCCTGGCGTTTACATGCGCATGTCTTATTACAAGCCATGGATACTTAAGGTCATGAACGCATAACGTTTATTTTGAATTTAATTATGAATTATGACCGCAGGATAGGTACTAAAGGTCGTTCACTAGTGGATAACGTTCATTAAAAATTTAATGATGGATGACGACCCCTGCTTTCTTAGTTATGAATGGATAACATTCATAAGGAATTGAAAAATTGACTACATTCCTTCATCACTTTTCGCATAGTTGATATACTTGCCAACTTTGCTTCAGCAGAATGACGACAGAAGGAATGTACGTTTCTGTACGTAACATGTCGTCTGTAGCATGAAGCAAATGCATGTTTTTTGCCTCTTGAGTTTATACGTGTGTTTTTTACAATTTGTTTGTTACTATGGACAACTAAACTGCCGCTCGGTTCTAAAATAATATTGTACTATACATTAATGTACGATGCGAGTTCCAGCTAATCGTTCAAAGCTTAATCGCAAAAGCAGAAATTAATCAGTCTTTTTCCTGAAAATTAAAACTCGTACTTATATGTACTTCTCAAACTTAATTACAAATTTGCAAAAATTCTTGTCTGTTCTCGACAAATTTACATGTCGTCACCACTAGTCCAGAGTCAGTAAGTTCAGTATTCCGGTTTATGCTCAGCCTGTATTCGACATAGCCAATTTGAATATTACCAAATTAAGTTTAATGCAAGCTTGCTCGGTCGGTTGTTTTTATACACAAATCCACTGTAGAGAATGTGATTCTTTATGCCAAATTCGGCAAATCAAGATAAGTTACATATTGAAGCTTGGGTGGTCAAGATGATTAAATATTGATGTGATCTGCACCTTTTTAAACATCGACATGGTAATGATTGTCAACATTTTGTCCTCTTATGTTGATATCTCAACGTACCATTCCGCCTGCCGGATAATGATTTGAAGTTTTATACGTTTTCATATCAACGTCAAACAACGGACCAGCCGCATTCTGCAACTGGAAATATGGCTTTCTCGATGATGATGTTTTGTTTCAATAATTCTTTTAGATTATTTGGCACATTCAAACATTAATTGTTTTGTAATTTTCAAGATTATAGTTATAAATGCCATGCCAATGTAGATGTGCAGCCTAATTTGTTAAGTATTATACGCTATGAAAAGGATCGCTCCATGCAACTTGTAACACGAGTCTAAGTTACTAAGCACATGTTGAAAGCTTATGTATATATTTAGAAGCGTGTATATTTTAGCTGTGGTATTATTTATGAATCTTACTGTATTTGTATTTTGAAACCATTATTTAAATCTTGCTAACTATACTTTCATTTCATTAGTCAAGCCTCATTCTAATGAAACGCCTGTTAGATAACAAGATAACAAGCAAAATCTAATACTATCAACTACCGCGGGTGAATGCTAATCATTAAGTGGTCGAAATGTTCTACAAAATGTACGAATCTACATAAAAAATTATTTTAAATACTTCCTTGCAAATCTTGCTGCAGAGAGTGTACTCTTAATCATTATTTGGACTGCGTTTCGCCGCTGGAGTTGCATACGCATTTTCCGAGTGTCAATGTTTCAGACACTTCAATATTGCGGACTGTAGTAAGGAAATAATACTTGGTGTGTATTTGTTATATAGGTATATTTCCTTTCACAATTTTTTTTCGAATAGCCGACTATCGTAAATAATAAGGCACGCACCTACTTTTCCCGTCCTTTATCAAGTACTGAAAGCGACCGGCGTAAAAATGCACAAATACGATCGATGCTCACAGAGATTCAGACGAAGTCCACCGCAAGGTTTTCAACTTCATCGTCATAAGTGAAAAAAGACGGGAATTTCAGGAGTGTCCATAATCATCACAAACGTGCGGCCTTCATTGTTTTTATTAGTATTTTTTAGCTAAATAAATTCGAGAAAAAGTTACGCTTCGGGCCCTCGCGGGTCTGCTGCTCGAATTCCTGCTTTTTAGGCGGCGGCTGGGCGAGCAGCACGTCGATGTCAGGCGATACGTCGGCAGGGTCCACCGCAGACGGGTGATACCTGCGAGCGAAAATTTTATATTCAGAAAATGGATGAGTTTCATTTTTTCTAACTCTTATTGCTCATTGAGTTTATCAGCTGAAATTTATGGTTGGCGTAACTGAAAAAAAAAATTGAGAAACGTGGCTAAGTGCGTATGCAGTCACCTTATTCGGTGAAAGATTTTGTTTTCAGCTTCATCACGCACGAATAGTTCCGCGAATTTATTGAGATCACTCGCTGTTTGCGCTTCACGCTATTAAGAATTACTAAAGATAGATACTCCACAACATCGGCAGTAACATAATATGCGTGGATCACCATATCATTCATTACTTAAATGTTATACCAGTGAGTAACGTTATAGTGTATAGTTAACGTTTTCCGAGCCTATAACTTGTATGGGAACATCGATAGGCAATATTTAGGAATTAATATACTCGTACTCAACAATTCATGTTTTTTCTGATAACGACCTGGCATCTTCTTACAGGAATTTTCTGGTTAAATTTATTTCACGAGGCAATTACATCGTGCATCGCCGATGTGAGACATGCCGTCTCTGCCGATGAGGAACATTTCGAATTTTTTTTGCCAGCTAACTATTCTACCCTTACAAACGAATTTCATCTATCAATTTAATTCACCGGGCAAGCGTATAGATCATCACCTGGTGTATGGCATGCCGTCTCTGCCGATGAGGAACTTCTCGAAATTCCAGTTGATGTCGCCCACCCTCAAGGGGGAGTAGAACAGCCCGCTCTCAAACTGAGTGTAGGTTGTTCCACAGGCGGCCTGTTGGGTACAAATTTATAAAACGTGATGGCAAAAATCAATTATGTAATTGCAAAAATCAATGTATCATCTGAAATTACTGTTTTAGGGGTTTGACATTGCTGCACAATGATCAACGTGTTGTCCAGTTTGGCATCATGTATCAAGCTTTTAAGACTCCTGAGCGGCATCATGTTTAATGAATACCGTACATACTAACACTTACGACAGAATACCATATTAGAAATAAAATTATTACATATTATGTATATAATATTGTTTTGCATTAGCGTTCAAAACCTTCCGATGTTAAAAATAATAACTTTACATCTTTAGAAAAAATCACCCGAATGTGATTCCAAAGTATCACAACTCTATGCCTAGCTCTACTGGTATGAAAACAACATCCCAACGACATTCTGTGCTAGGAGGCAGATGTAGAACAAAGCCATGCATTAACGTAGGCATAGGAAAAAAATGTCAACAGAGCCTACATCTTATCGTTAGAGGCACCTAAAGCAACAAACTAATCGACTTCTTAATGAATTTCATCTTTCTTATTTCAAATTATTGTTATTCATTGAATCATTTCGATAACAATTAATAGACTCACCTTTAGGTAAGTGTAGAAGGGGATCTCGTTCGCCCCATTCACATCAACCTTCTGGAATATTCTATCCAGCTTGGGTTCGAACCCCCCGCCCGGTCTCACGTAGCGGATGCCGTTCATGATCTCGTCAGGAGTCACCCCGGGCTCTTGCTGCGCGTGGTTCAGAAATCAATACAAATCATTGACTCTACTAAAGCATTATTAGAAATTTATCTAATTTTCCATACTATGATAAAAGTTTATCTTACAAATTGATGTATTGGTTTATCTTACAATTTATGGTTGGCGCAACCGTAAAAAAAAAACATTGAGAAACTTGGGGAAAAATGCGTATGCTATCATATAATTCAGTGAAAGATTTAGTTTTCAGCTTTATCACGCACGAATAGTACCTACCGAGAATTTCTTGAGATTACTCGCTGCTTGCGCTTCACGCTATTAAGAATTACTAAATTTATATACTCCATAACATCGGCAGCAACATAATATGCGTAGATCATCATATGATTCATAACCTACTGCTATACCAGTGAGTAACGTAACGAACAAGGATTCTGACGTTAAAATAACTTTAATAAATCGTAATTTCACCGAAATCAACTGGTAATCAACAATATTTCGACTGAGCTGCCTGGGCGGTTACGACGGCTGACTCACCTTACCGAACTGGTTGCAAGGGTAGCCGATGATGACAAGGTCTTGCCCTGCGTACTGATCGGCGAGTGCATTTATTTGTTGGTACGAGACCTTGGTCAAGCCTCAGTACGTCGCCAAGTTGTACACCAGTACAACCTGCAAAAAAATAAGTGACATGTAAGCTTGATATAGCACATAACAAAATCAATTTCAAAATATACAGCGTATAAAAGGGACCGTTTGCATTTTGTTTACAGTTTATCACGCCGCCGGAGGAAAGAGTCTATTCCTACAAAAATATATGCTGGGTTCTTCGATGGAAGCGCGCGCCGCGCAGTACGCAAGTATCAAACGCTAAGAACGAGTACATATTTTGAACAAATCAGAATTATTGCCCACACTAGCCAGTCATCACCTACTGGCCAAAACTAGCCAGTCTTCACCTACTGGCCCAAACTAGCCAGTCATCGCCTACTGGCCCAAACTAGCCAGTCATAATTTGCTCAGCCGGAGGTGACATAAACGTCTGGAAAAACGTCGTATGGCAAGTTGACAAATGAACAAATACGTACTTTGACAAATGAACAAATTTTAGAGGCAGGGTGGCCTCGTGGTTAAAGTTCAGAGTACCAAGATTGGAGCAGAGAGGTGCGGGTTCGATCGCTCTGTGCGCCAGTTTCTGGTCAGAATCGGCGAGGAGGCCGGGCGGTTAAAAGCAAAGCAAAATTGAAGCAGTTAGTAACGAGTTCAAGCCCGCAACAAGCTGTGGATGTTCTGCAATGTTAAGATTCGGCGACAGGCCTACGGCCTAATAAACGCTGAAACCGCTATATTATATAATATTAAAATATCGTCTAAGGCTAAATGCAGGCGTCAACATTGCCAAGAACTGAATATACCGCGATTCGCAAAGATCTTCAAGTTAATTATTACCTACTAAGTGGCTCAGCTTGCCAGTAACCTGCAGTGTTTGAATATTCATAGCACACATTAATGCCGGAATAAAAGGGAAACATTTTGCCTCCAAAATATGGAAATAAACTTTGAACGAATTGTAAATAAAATTTTTTGATTTGTAAAGTGAATTCTATGGATGATGAAATATGGATATCTGAATTGCCAGTCTAGGTTTACTCGAGAACAGACAAAATGCATCCCATGATCTATCGAGTAGGATAGAGCGACCAACTTGGCCTTGAAATCATCGCAGGGCCAAGACTTCCAGGAGCGAGTCGAGAACTCACAAAAAGACTTGGCAATCCCAATAGGCTGACCACGCACCCGACCACGGTCCAAACCTCAGACCTGACCAAGCACCACCAGATCCCATCTTTAGACCACGCACTGCCTACGCATCAATGTTCACAAAACGCACTGCCTACACGTACGTGGACTTAGTGAGCTACGTGGGCTACGCAGTGGACTTGGCACTAAACCACGCAGTGACTAAGCCCAACCGGGCGTACCGAACCCGACCACATCCAATCCTCACAAGTCACAACACACACACTCCATAGCTTTTACACGTTTAGTTCCGACGCAGGCAACCTCGCTGTCTTTGTTTGGTATTCGAGGCAAGTGCCTGTCTGTATATATACAAGTGCCTAAGCTTAACTCTTACATTTTCCGGCATTCTCTTGAGTTACCGGTACCACCATATCTGGAACACGCAGGAGGGAGCAAAAAATTCAGCAGAGTCTCATGGAAGTACGTGGAACCATTAATTTCGAATAAAAATTTATAAGAAGCATCATTGCTTTAGGGATTGTAAAACCTGTTAAGCGCTCTGAAGGCACAGCTCTAGTATAGTACTGCAGACAAATCATGAATAATTAGACGATTAGAGCAGAGATATATATAATATAAAAGTCTCTTTTATTGGGGATGTGAGAACAAAACGTCGTGAGAGATTGAATAGGAAATAAATTACGATGTTCAAACACCATCTACGTAGGTCGGAATTTTCGTTTTATTCACTGAATAATCTTTATTAGGGATCTTGAAAGAATGCACGAAAATTTGCATAAATCTGATCTTAAAATATGTATGATCGAAAGAGTCAAAAGTTAGATATTATGATCGAAATGACTCTTATATTCATAAAATGCATCGTTACAGCAGAATTAATAATTATGAGCTCATGGCGTAAGACATCCAGAGCGTGATTATTAATAGCAGAAATAAAGTTACCTTCTTCCAACAGCCTTGATATAACGGGGCTGCACTTAAAACGTCAGACTTCAGAGAACAGTATAGACAAAGGTTACGGATGTCAACAAGCAAACCCAAATAAGGGGTTCCATCATACCATCATCCATGTGGATTGCGTCACACCACACATACTCGTAAATACATAACTTCATGGATGTGCGCAGGTAAATAGGGTCTCTATACTTGCGGTAAAGGCTATAATAAAGTAATTTCATACCTGCACGTGTTTAAAAAGATTGTTTATCGACGGTGATTTGAAATTTTCTCGTTACCATTTCATGGGACTTAGTCATTCAAGTTGAAATGGCTGGTGTTTTTTTACACTAACACGGTGAAAAAGTTCTTTCAACTTCTAAACTTTCATCCTAGTTCAGAATAGCACCTGACGTTGAAGAAACAATCTAATAAGGATGCGCCTCGACCATAACACTATACAGGACAGTAAGGTGAGGACACCTGCGATAAACAGAACGGCAAGTGCCGATAACGTTCTAGTCTTCGACTCAACAGCTAGCAAAATGGAAGCTAAGATTGCAGAGCGAGGAAAAGATTGCATCTAGAATTTTCATGTTAATGAAAGCTACGATTGAATAACTATGTATAGACAACCACTGAAATGTTCCCGATAGTAGAAGCTAAGAGAGAAGAATGAGAAAAAGATGGGCACTAAAATTTTCACGATAATGCAAGCTGCGATTGTAGAACGAAGCATAGACCACCACTAAAATGGTTAGGACTATGGAAGCCAAGATTGTCCGAGAGTTAACAGGGGTTCAAACTTTGTAAATGTTTTAAGACGCCTCTACTAAATTGTTGTGGTGAACATTTAAAAACGTCGAGGTTACGTCTTTCCACGAACGCTTGCAGTTCATGCCAAAAATAATGTGATTATTCTATTTGTTCTCATGTTACCTATGGAAGAGCATCTTTTTCGATGTGTAAATACACTAATTCACATAAAGTGAAATTATTGACGAGATCATTTTTAATTCACTACCAGGTTAATTCCGGAAGCAATACAAACTTTAATAAATGTTCATTATCGATCACTAACTATGTTCGGCAGGCTGCGCACGCATTAGTATAGCACGCTAGATGAAGATTCACTCACTTAAGTCGGAATTGATGTATAAAAGTTAAAAAATTGTCAATGAAAAGGAGGCAATTCATTGCAAACGTTAACTACGACTCTAGGTAGTCGGCAACTGCATTTGAGGCGGCTGGAGGACACGTTCGAAATTTGTTGGCGTCGAAAGTTTGGCCTCACAACACACCCTTTCACTTTCCCGCAGCTTACCGTCCTTCTCCAATGCTATTGTTGCACCTTGAAGGTTCATTCTTTCAACGCGCATGTATAGAGATCGAATAGCGACTATCGGTCGCGCTATTAGTTTGGTTACGAGCATCCTTATACTAGCCTCTTAAGATGACTGCATATACTCGTCACATTCTTACATCAACATTTCAGAGCTTAATTGTTTATTTACTTGTAGCAGGTAAATTTCATCTTTATTTTACCATAGATGGTTATTTGACAATAAATTTAACGATTGCGGCGGGCTGAATATTAGCATGTCACCGAGTCCGATATCGTATGAAACGAAACTTCTTGTCGTGCAATGTTTAACCTTGCATACCAAAAAAAAGTTTTAGGGGGCAAGAGACGGGCATGTAAATTCTCACGAATTTCACTGCAAGACCCGATAGAACATGCCTGCATTAATCGAGCTATAACAATTATAACATGCCAGAGTAAGATTCTTGATAAGTCGAAAATTGCATGTGGCATTGCGTCCTTTTGTACTTAACTGGCTCCAGCTTATCCTGTTGACCGCTTTTCCAGAAATTCTATCATGTAATCAGCCACATAAAATAAGCGCAATGGATAGCCACTTTGAGTTAATTTTTGCAAACCGATCAAAGGTCGCGAAGTTTCACCAATTGGTGAAAAAAACACTAGTTCGTGTGGATAGGTTATTACAAAAGTCAGTAGGCATAAACAATTATTATCTTTTTTATTTAGCGGCTTTGGGGATCGGCGCAATGTAAGTTAACTAAGAAATCTCGACCAGTGGTCAACGAACAATCAAAGGGGTCCTCGAAAGTATTTTATCAAGGATGTAATTATTATCACATAATGAGTCGAGGGCACAGAGGTCACAGCTGCTCCTTGGGTGCACAATATTACATCAGCAATGAAGAGCAATTTTATCATGGTTGTTGATCACAGGTCATGTTATCAGAAGTGTCGTTCATGATAAAATCATGCGAATTAAGTATCACAATGAGATAAGTATAGTAGTTATAGGTTAGTTTTTCTCCAATGTGATACTAAAGACTAAGAGCGGAGCTTGATTAGGTGCAACCACACAGACATGCCCCGCATGGTTGGGTGCAACCACACAGACGTGCCCCGCATGGTTGGGTGCAACCACACAGACATGCCCCGCATGGTTGGGTGCAACCACACAGACATGCCCCGCATGGTTGGGTGCCCCGCACGGTTGGGTGCAACCACACAGACATGCCCCGCAAGGTTGGGTGCCACCACACAGACATGCCCCGCATGGTTGGGTGCCCCGCATGGCTGGGTGCCACCACACAGACATGCCCAGAAGTGTGCAGCAAGTGACCAATGTCAGGCATCTCTTTATAAAGAGATCTAATTTCAGACAACTGATCATAAATTAAGAAGGAATCAAAGCTCCTATTGAGGTAATCTAGTGAACGAACCAATGCGTAGCTCAGTGTTAGCAAGAAACATGCGGTAAACAAAACAAATATAATTAACCTAAGTTCTTCCTTTCTCCTGGTTGCATAATGAAGAACCAATCATTCGGTTTCGTCCCTGTAAACATCCGTTTACAGCAAATCTAAATAAGATTATCACTGAAACTTTGTTAGCACAATGATAGGAAAATGTTTAGAAGGTCCAACGATCAAGAGGAGTGGGACCTGTGCCGTGATGGGTCCAGATTACATTGGCAGTGTACGTCGAAGCAGATGGTACATCAAGTTAAGATGAATGGTGACAGAAATAAAGCAGAATGGAGTTTAATTAGAATGGTGATTGAAGTTAATCAGAGTGGTGATTAAAGTTTAGCAGAACTTTGAATGAAGTTAAATGTTGATCAGAATGAGGACTTAATAAAGGCTATTTCAGTTCAATAGTTTTTCGGATCATTATTTTATTCTAAAGTGAGTAATAGTTACAGTCTGGCTAAACCCTCTTATGTGCTTTACCAGCTTACTAAGGTTTCATCTTCCAAACCGAATGTTTTTTTCATAATCCAGTATCATAATGAAAACTGAAATCGACTGACGATGTAAAACTAGTTGAAATATATTTTTCACTGGAATGCTGTTAAGAGACGCAATTATCTTCGCTACTTGTAGAAGTTTCTGGATTTGATAACCGACACTTGTCGAGTCGGCAAGCAGGCTGGACAAGGTTTTCATATTGATACATTCACTGCAGGCTAGAGGTGAGTAAGCTACTTTCACCAACAATTTCTTCGAAGTTTTTCGCATGACCGGTTTATGATGTAGAAAGATGTACAACAGTGAGCAAGCTTATTGATCGCATAATATGAAAACTATTCAAAAATTAATGTCACATCAGCAAACAAATTCGTATTCATGATATTGGATCCATCCGTCGCCTACCTAGTCAGCTCAGCTAGTGCTGAGTAGTGCGAGTTCTTGTTAAGTTCATATGCTTGATACAAACGTCATAGAATTCTCAAATATTTTTGTAATTTGGTACCTAGAAGCTTACAGATACTTTCGAAACAAAATATCTATATCAATAACTATCATGAATACACAATTCATCTAAATTCTGATTAAACGGAAGGAGCTCTACATAGGTACCACATCCATACGTGATACGTATATGGACATTGGACACCAATGCACCATTAAATGAAAGGAATGGCAATTGGCACGGAGCGGAGGCCGGAGAGAGCACAATAAAGTTCATAAATATGGTGTGGTGCGTTTCAAGCTTTCAACGTCCGTGTAACGAAGAAAAATTTTCCGAGACTCCTTCCACAATCCACATCCCAGGGTCTGCAAATGCCCTATCGGGCTATCCTATCCATGACAAAATTTTTTCTCAATAGTTGAATTAGGATGGGGTGGAATCGCCAGAATTCGCCTCACCACGGTTAAATGATTACGTCTCACCTTGCCGGCGAACTCGGAGAAATCTACGGTTTCGTTGCCGTACAAAACCGTGGCATTGAAGCCATAAATATTTTCTGTTGTTGGATCACATGGAACTCTTGAGAAGATCTCTCCCGTGGCAGGCCCCAGGAGGGTACCTGCCAGCAGCAGGAGTGGCAGCATCTTGTCTACACGGTGGCCAGACAAGCACTGTCGCAGTGATACCTGAGCTCTGCCTTATAAGCGCTGCTCTGCTGGTATCCTGAAATCTCAAGGCCATTCTAGTGTCATGACGACCAAAAATATTCATATATATATAACCCAGGTAAAATTCAGAATGAAATAGGGCCAGGTTCCTCGAGCTTAATTTTTTTTAAACAAAGGCATAAACTTGCAAGGCCAATTTTACTGTAGTTTTAGCAGAAATATCTTGTAACAAATTGTGTAGTCTCGCCTGAAAATTTTTAGATGTAAAGTATGATTGCTTTTAGTGTAAATATTGTGCGACTCAGAAGTTGTTACGTAACGAGTCCAACAGAAAAGTTGCAACTTGTAATCTCTAATGTTGAGAACAATCATTGGAATCAAGCTGAATAATAACAATGTTGGCAGCTTACACGTAGTAATATCTCGGTCGCTCACTTTATTTATCATCATTGTTTGACATTTAATAAATCTAAATTAAGAAAGTTAAATTTAGGAAATCAAATTGAATTTTTAATGTGCAAGAAAATTTTTCACGGAATTTTCTCCCACTTGACACGTGCAAACAGTGAAATGAACTACAGATTAAGATATGATGATATTTTAATCTAGATGTTATACATGATTATGTCACTCACCGGTGTGAATAATCAGCGTGTGTTGACCAGAATTGAAGTAAGCTTAAAAATAACAATCTAAATTTGACTACGAATAGAGAACAAACTACGGTTTAAATAACAAAAATAATCTCAAAGATTTTCTCCATGTTTCAAGGTTGTGATATTATAATTTACTTAGCTAGTATTTCAATGTGCTTTGGGTTGCCTTTATTCTGTTGGTTAACCAAGTCTGCTGGCGTATCCATGATACCTATACTTATTATCTCCCGAACAGCTTCTCGATGTATCAATGTATCGTGACTCGTTCAGCTTGCGTCTTTAAAATGTTAGGGTTAGTTTTTTTTACAAAAGGTAATGGAGATGTTGTACCTGCCTTGTGGGACTGGTTTTCACTGGTGAGTTGAGGATATTTGGAGTCTAAAATTTATAAAAAAATTAACAAACTTTTTTCTTTTTGTTATCATCGCCGTAAGTTTTTTTTTTACCATAGCAGTTAAAATAAATACTTTACATTAACAGAAATATGTACTTTATTTAAAAAAACGAATAAAGCCGCAGTTCGTACAAAAGAAAATTTATATTTTTTCATTGTAAAAAATCTAGCGTCAATGTCTTGTATTACTTGGAGAGCATAAACCTAGCAAACCAGGTGATTGTGATTATGTTTTTTCATTGTAAATTTGTACGAAAAACTTTATATTGACAAGGCAGACACTTTATAACTTGTTGATACCCTTCCTCTCACAACCGTTAATGACATCGTCGGCACTCATCAGATTCTGCACTTACCTCGCCGCTCGTCAATAAAAACTGTATACGGTAATACTAATAATCAGAACTTCGATTTGTAGGGCTCTATAACCTCACGTTCTGATCGCGCTACGATGTTGTGGTTTAGCCTTGTTTATAAAATAAATTGTTTTATTGAAGGCCGGCGACGTATGTTATGTAGCGACGTTATCGGCATTGACAGTAGCTAACATTATGACGTCCACAGTTGTTGTGGTTATTATTTATAAGTATCAAGTCTGATTTCTGATTGAAGTCTAACTAGGGGTTATTCAATCTAACATTCATAATTAAATGCAGCAATTACGACCAGAATGCCTTACAATTTTGAAATAAATTCATGCTTCAACAAACGATATATCTTTAGAAAATCCTATTGTTAGGTGCAGACAGTGAGTAATAATATAGATTGCACGGTGTTGCGACAGCTGCGTGTTTTCAGCGCCATGTGTCTCGCCATTGCCCAGAGATAGGTACACCTGACTATCTCGATATAGATCTCACGAACTAGTTCGACGGTACATGACTTAGTTTACCCTAATTTGGTAGATCTCTGAAGGTATTATAATACAGGGTGATTTACGGAAAATCCTGTTTTGTATTTCGTGCCAGGCAGCCATGATATTGTAGGAAGAGAGTAGGGAGTATTTAGTATGAAAGGCAAGGTCATGAAATTTTGTGTCCCGCCTAGTCTGTTGCCACTTTGCATTGGACAAGTGAGCAACGTGCGTTTGTTGTCGAGGCGTACCTATATCAATGGCCGTTTTGCCGAGTAGTCTCCATCTCTTACAACGTTTGGCAGAGCGTTTCATCTCCGTGAAAGGTGACCTTCTTTGGCCAGGCCGGTCCCCGATTTGGCTCCGTGTGATTTTTTTATGGGGTTACCTTAAATCAATTGTTTACAATGACTGTCCAAGAACCCTACCTCATTTGAAGAACAAGATACGCCAAGCCATCGGTTGAACGGAACTTCAAAAATCGACTAACTGAACGCATTGACAATTGGAGCCGTCATTTGTCCAAAGTCATCTTTAAACTAAGTGATACAAAAATTCAGTTAATGTCGTTTTCAATAAATTTTATGTAGTAATGATATCTTTACTAGTTTTTTAATTGAGCTTACAAATCAGGATGCTTCCGTGAATCATCCTGTAGTTTATTACGCCATAATTAATTAATTTGAGTTTTTAGCAGGCAAAACTTAAGCCTAGGAATAAAAAGCGTATTTTCTTTGATTATCTATCTGCTTTGAGTTTCTCTAACTTACTTATACATTTTCATTGTATGTACGTCATCCTGAATGTGTTTTGACGAAACTTATGTAGGTTAAGGCGCTTATACACGGAGCTAGTATTAATTAGCTGCGAGTATGCGCTGCAGGTTTTTACACTCCAAGTTTTGCCAGCTGCTATAAAGCTAATATACACAAGGAAAGTAGTTTGTTAAGGGGAGCGTCTACCCTAAAAATCTAAATTCTCGGCTATTCCGGTTTTTAAGCTCATCTTAAAGCTTACTTTCTGCCGCATCGAACGGTACTAGAACCATCTCTGTACGTTGATTTATGCGTTCAGGACAGATCCCGAAAGGGGGGAGGGTGGTGGGTGGTGGGGTCCCTTCACAAAAGTCTATGGGGATAATTACTGCCGAGCCATATAAAATTACTGTCACTGGACCTGCAGCTCAGTTATCACTCAGCCATCATGCGGAAAGGTGTTGATGTAGTCGTCCTATGCACCGTTGACTGACTTTGAAGTGAGATAACGCTTACTTCCGGTATCTAAGCTACGTTACATGCCTTTACATAGCGCGCCGCGGTTTTTCACCTCTAATGAAAAGTTTGAAAACATGAAAACCTCTCTCGCGGCAAACCTATCTCCTCCTAGAGTTTTTAAGCTACAACAATGAGACATATACCATTCGATGCGCAAGAAAAAGATCTACTATTAACTTTAGGCGTTTTTCTAGTTTCGTTATAGTTTGGATTTTATTCCGCAAAAAGGGGGGTGTGGGGGGTAAAATCGAAAAATTTCCATAAAATTTACAAAAAATGCCCCCACACCCACAAAAATGAGAATTTTCAAAAACGCGTACAGCGTTTTATAGATATGATCTTTACGCATCGAATGATAGGTGTCTTGATGTTGTACCTTGAAAATCCTAGGAGGAGATAGATTTCTACGCTACCCCCTCTTTTGGCCGTTTTCTAAAATTTTCACGTTTTCTTTCATTTTTTTCGAAAAATTCACATAATCAAAAAAGTCTTAGATTTCTGTTTTACATATGTGTACCAAGTTTCAGAGTGATCCGTCTGTAAATAGCCGAGATAAATTTTACCCTAGACGCTCCTCTTAACAGTATTTTCGCATCCGCAAGTGCTAGTGCGTTGTTGGAAGCCGTCGAGCGGGGTCTGTATATAATGGAATTTGGAACATTATTGGTAAGACGAGTTGGATGAAGCGGTTGGTGGCATAGTTGCCTCTCCTGCTGAGGAGGTGAAAAACTTTGTAGGTCAGGGTGGAGTGTGGGTGAGAGACCCAATATAAGGTCTCGTTTAAGTTTCCAAACATTAATTTCTCAATTAGTTTTTGTTGGAATATTCATCGTGACATACATTCCACAGTAGATTGTACTTCTGGAATATCTTTAAGAGCAGTTCAATATCATCTAAACGCCACTTGACGTTATTAGAACCAACGTTGTTGGGAAAAGCCATAGTTCATAACATTAGAAAAACTTGCAACTGAACTGCTTCAGACGCTATTGCATCAGCTACTTCGCATCGAACGGTACTAGAACCATCTCTGTACGTTGATTTATGCGTTCAGGACAGATCCCGAAAGGGGGGAGGGTGGTGGGTGGTGGGGTCCCTTCACAAAAGTCTATGGGGATAATTACTGCCGAGCCATATAAAATTACTGTCACTGGACCTGCAGCTCAGTTATCACTCAGCCATCATGCGGAAAGGTGTTGATGTAGTCGTCCTATGCACCGTTGACTGACTTTGAAGTGAGATAACGCTTACTTCCGGTATCTAAGCTACGTTACATGCCTTTACATAGTGCGCCGCGGTTTTTCGCCTCTAATGAAAAGTTTGAAAACATGAAAACCTCTCTCGCGGCAAACCTATCTCCTCCTAGAGTTTTTAAGCTACAACAATGAGACATATACCATTCGATGCGCAAGAAAAAGATCTACTATTACCTTTAGGCGTTTTTCTAGTTTCGTTATAGTTTGGATTTTATTCCGCAAAAAGGGGGGTGTGGGGGTTAAATTGGAAAATTTTCCTTAAATTTTCCAAAAATTGCCCCCCCCCCCCCAAAAATGAGAATTTTCAAAAACGCGTACAGCGTTTTATAGATATGATCTTTACGCATCGAATGATAGGTGTCTTGATGTTGTACCTTGAAAATCCTAGGAGGAGATAGATTTCTACGCTACCCCCTCTTTTGGCCGTTTTCTAAAATTTTCACGTTTTTTTTCATTTTTTCGAAAAATTCACATAATCAAAAAAGTCTTAGATTTCTGTTTTACATATGTGTACCAAGTTTCAGAGTGATCCGTCTGTAAATAGCCGAGATAAATTTTACCCTAGACGCTCCTCTTAACAGTATTTTCGCATCCGCAAGTGCTAGTGCGTTGTTGGAAGCCGTCGAGCGGGGTCTGTATATAATGGAATTTGGAACATTATTGGTAAGACGAGTTGGATGAAGCGGTTGGTGGCATAGTTGCCTCTCCTGCTGAGGAGGTGAAAAACTTTGTAGGTCAGGGTGGAGTGTGGGTGAGAGACCCAATATAAGGTCTCGTTTAAGTTTCCAAACATTAATTTCTCAATTAGTTTTTGTTGGAATATTCATCGTGACATACATTCCACAGTAGATTGTACTTCTGGAATATCTTTAAGAGCAGTTCAATATCATCTAAACGCCACTTGATGTTATTAGAACCAACGTTGTTGGGAAAAGCCATAGTTCATAACATTAGAAAAACTTGCAAATGAACTGCTTCAGACGCTATTGCATCAGCTACTCGCATTTGAAGAATAATTCATCACAATTTTTGGATTGCGAAAACTTGCAGCGAATACTCGCAGCTAACGCTAGCCCCGTGCATAAGCACCTTCAGACACGTGCATTCGTATCCTGAGACTATGCTTTGTCATTCATGTCTACTTGTGCTTATAAAAAAAGCTATCATTTGTTATATAAAATATAAAGTCATGCAATTTATGGTGTAATTCGGCTATCAAGTTGACTACCAGCATGACGTGGCTATAGTGGAATCATTGTTTTCATAGTAAGTGCGCAGTTAGGGAAGGGCGTTACAATTCACGAGCCACTTCCGCTGGTTTGACGCCTAAACTAACTCGCGATACTCGCTCGTTAGGGCCGTGACTGAACCTTTACGTATAATGGAGTACATTGATAACATCACACTATTATGGATGCTAATAGCAATTTTCAATTTAGATCAAAAAAATTAAGTACAACTGCGCTGAGAAAAAACCCGATGTCGAGCGCTCAGTCTAGTGCTGATGGGATTTGACATCTGTGTTCTGATGAGACCTGACATCTGCCCAAATATTTGCACCTAACGATTTTTACTCAGATTAAAACGAGCCTGTAAAGATATGTGATGGTTTTTACGAATATAGATCATTGCATGAGAATGCAAATAATATTTATTAGAGTGAACATCGTATCAAAATTAGCGTACAATCGAACTCAGGGAGATGGCACCCGTGTTCATTAAACTTAAATCATATAAATCCTTGAATAGTTCCTGCAATTATTGCGTAACTTGAATTTGATATATTGTCACATGCATGCGAAGTAGCAAAAAAAAAATGGACATCAGTGACTGATAAAAAAGAATATTTCTTAAACCATCTGATTATCTGTTGTCTATGCTTACTCAAGAATGGTGTCGACGATTTCTATCTTGGAAAATCAGGTGTTGAATGACTTGCAAAAGTTTATAGTTAAACGACTTTTCCTTGCAATCGCCGAAGTAGAACTTAATTTGAAATTTTAACGCATAAAGGAATTTTTGAGCAGAATAGGTACGATGACTTTTCATCTGTGCGCTCTAGTACCTACTAAAGTATCATTGCCCCCTGAATTTCTAAACTTGATAATTGTGTGAAGGATCGCAATACTTGGAACGTTATATGGTGTTGGCAGGGTATAGATAGAATAGAATAGAATAGAAGTGTCGGCGTTGAAAGACATAGGCCCATGGCCTGTTGCCGATTCTTGAACTTTTCGTGATTTGATTCACAAAGGATCCGGCCTTTGGAACCCGATCTTTCCATAACTGACGATTGATTGAGATAGCTGCTGGACTTATTGCCTGCTCCGTAATTTGCTAGGCATTCTAAGACTGAACATATGCTCCTACATAGCTTCGTCTAGTCTGTTTTTGAAGATGTTCATACTCGGAGCNCTTTCAAATCAGAAATACCGTCCTTCATCTTGCACTTCGAGCTAGCGTATAAAAAGAAGGCTTTCGGGTTCTTTTTTGCATTTTTAGCAATACTTTTTTCGAGGGTTTTTACAGCGGTGCGACAGCTTTCTTTAGCTTGATTTCGAGCTCTTGCGTATAGGTTATAGTCATCATCGCTACGAGTCTGTAAATAACGCTGGTATGCTTCCTTCTTTGTTTTCAGCTTAGCTAAAACTGTACTGTTCATCCACCGATTTTTTTTGGCTCCACCAAGCTTAATTTTAGGTACATACGATGATACGCAGCAACTGCAGACATAACCGTGTCCTTGAGAAGTGACCATGACTCAGCCACATTCATGTCCTTAATATATTCCGAAATATTCACTGCATTCACTGTGAATTAGATGCAACGAATTAGTATGAAGCGAAGCATGAAGACAAAAAATTAGTTGCGAATTGTGATCATCAGCTAGCAAAAGCCCCATTGACCCGTTTCTTTGATATCAGGATTTTTGAGATAGAAGCTCACACATTTACGATCAATAATGAATATATTATGCCAATTTTTTGAGTCATTCATCACAACATGTCTTCTGTACTATCGCACATAGATTCAGGTTATCAATAACAGGTGGAGTTGCATTTATTACAACGTAATATTTACAGAATTATTGGATGTAGAGGGCTACTGAAATTTACAATGATCTATTGAATGCAGCATAATACTGCGATTATTTAACTAACACAATTGCTTTCTCTTAATATAGCTACAAGATTTTAGTTGTAAATTTACTCATTCATTACATATCATAGTCAGAGGTCGGCAGTAGCGCGCTACATGTAGCGGCCGCTACATTTGCAGTAGCGGTAGCGGCGCTACATTTAAGCAATTTTAGCGGTAGCGGTAGCGCCCGCTACATATTTGAGTAGCGATACGAGGTTTTGCCGCTACAGCGCTACCGCTACATTTATAGATAAAGCCTTTAGATTTTACTTAAGGGGACCGGCTACCCNCGAAAAGTTTGTTGGTATTGTCCAATCGTGAGATTTTTAAGATTCTGGATGTGTTTTATTTTTATTTTAGAATGTATTCATTGCAAAAATGTGTCCGCTAGCCTACAGATAAACGACTAGTTAACTTGATTCGGCGTTGGCAACACGGGATTGGATTTCAAACCACGCGCGATTTCGGAAGAGCGGCAGGCAGTTTCCAATGAGCTCAGTTTATATGATTTCACTGCAGTGGAAGGTGAGGTGGTGTAACGCGGTGGTAGGGTTGATTTTTCGATACGTTTTCATATATTAACATGAGAATATATTAACTATACAGAATTCCACACTGGTGTGTGGCTATGGTAGATTTTTTTGAGATTGAAAAATTCTCACTTATTGCTATAATTTTATTGCTACAAATTCAAATTTTTCCAAATTGAAATTTAAAAAATATTTTAGAAATTAGAATCTAATGGCTTGATTATGTACTTTTCTTAACTATACTGTCTATGCAGAGAAAAACAGAAATTAGGCTGAAATGTTGAAATCTCCTATAAATGGAGATAAAAATGCCAAAGCTTTTTAGTAAATTTGAGCTATACTTTTACTAGCTTAAGCTTTTGCGTAATTTTTTTTACAAAACTAAGAAAAAAACATGAATCCAAGAAATAGAAATTTTGTGCCTAAGTATTGTTGGTATGGAAATGGAATGCATATATATTTACCAATTAAGCTGCAATTAGATCTTTCATTCCATTTTTAGAATCAGAAGCAGAAGTTGCAAGATTCCTGGATTTCCTGCTAGTCTGCTAGATGAGTTATCTCTTATTTAATTATAAAAAAATGTACAATTGGGCTGCAAGATTCCTGATGTATCAACTTTCAATAATCTGTTAATTAATACTTCAAGCTTCAAGGCAGCAAGATTTCATTCATGAGTAAGAATATTTTAATATTGGATTAATTAATGTGTGGGCAAATTTTTATAATCTAGTTTTCATTTGTATCTTGGAATAAATTTTCTTCCTGTGAGCCATATTATCATATTGGCTAATTATGGTGATAATAATTGGACATTTGTTATAGGTATCTATAATCCCCTTAGTATGGTTTGCTATCAAAATTTAATAATTCACTTAATAGTTAGTTAGTTACCAAGTTTCAAGATATTTAAAAACCTAGAACAACTATGGCTACAAGTGATGCAACAAACTCTACCTCCCAAAAGAAAGTCATCTTTCATCCAGTCATCAACGGTTTGCAGAAGATTGCTTTGTATGAGACATGGAAGGTAAATGTATACTAGATTGTATCATTCTTTTTCAACACTCACTTGTATGTTTGTAAAATAATCATTCAACTTTCACTTTTGTCAATTTTTGCATACACATATTATATCAAAGCTTTGAAGATATGTTCCTAACTTTTTTCCTTGTCAGTTAAAATCATTTGCCATTTTTCAAAGTTGGAAGAATATAGTCCTGATCCTGCCATTTAATTCATCAAGCCATCCACTTTTTATTTTTGACTGATTTTTCTTAACCTGATATCATGTCTTTTTCAGAAATACTACCTGATTGGATCAAATCCCACTGAAACAAAGTTCAGAGTCCTGAAAATTGACCGCACAGAACCCGAAAAATTAATTATCACAGACGATAAGGTTTGTTATTAAAGCATTATTTCTTATTGTATTATTGAGTTGGAAATCCAATGTCCAAGACTTTTTTCAATGTGTCAGTTATTACATACTGTACAGCTTGTGTTTTCTCCTATTCTGAATATTTGCAACTGCATCCCCTTGGACTTATTGTTGTTTGATCTAAGGTATATAATGAGTTTTTTTCTTTTTTAACAGTAATTAGCAATTTGTATGATGTGTTCAGGGAACTAAATAGTCGATTTCATCTGTCTATCAGGAAATAAATTCTAAACATAACTATGTGAACTATTATTAATTGAATTAAATTATTTTGGTGCTATTTTGTTTACTGTTTTTCCTGCTGTATCATACTTTGTGTTCACATTCTTTCCTCATTTTATTTATGATTAATTTATTTATGATTTTTTCCTAGATATTTCCTTATAGGATTACTGATGTTAGTTAGCTACTAAATTATTACGCAATTTTTTGGTTATATATCTTTTATCTTATTGCATTTTGTTTTACAAATTTTTCAAGAGGGGTTTTATCGCCATGAAAAATCTAAATTTATCCATTACGTATCCCTTACATTTTTATGGAAAAAGCTGTTCAAACAAACAGTTCTTTTTTTATTCATAGCTCTTAATATTTACTTAAGGTTTTATGTATCAAATGCTTAATGTGTGTATGTGCTTTTGCACTTCTAACCCTGTTTGTACATCACGATGCAGGTTCTTTATACCCACACTGAAATACGAAGACTCTTGTCTGACCACAAGCGGCCTGATGTTGGGCCTGGCAATAAGCTCACCAGAGTCACCTCTGCCTTTGGCATTGTTGGTTTTGTGAGATTTCTGCAAGGTGAGCAGTAAACATAAGAAAACATGAAATTATTTTTAATGTTCTCTAAAGTTTAATATGCCCTCAATCCTTCACTTCTAGAGAACATTTCATGCAAATTTTAGGTTCCTGGAAATTTTTTGTCATATTTTAGTTATTTTGGTGATATGTAATGACAAAACTCAATTGAAGCTCTCAGCCATTAAAAAATTCATTAATACCCTAATTATGGTCAGATAAAAGTTTTCTACTGATTATTATAATTATTTTCAAAGTGACATAATATGCATTAAAATTCAATAGTTATCAAAGTTTCTAATCTGCGCAATACGTACATACATAATTTATATGTTTTACTGTCTAACTTGGATTGATCTTTCAGGTGAAATATCAAGTTATTCCATCATAAATTATTGGATTAAATGTTATTGTGTGTCATGTATAATTGTCTTAGTTTCTTCTCTAATTTATGAAAGATTTCACGTGCAGGAAATTTCTGTATTATCCATCAGTATATATTATTTATTGAATGTAATCATCCTTACCTCATGGCTAGTGATTTTGCCACAGGTTACTACATGATACTTGTGACAAAGAGACGGAAAGTGGCGTCAGTTGGTTTACACAGCATATACAAGGTACGTGTGTTAGACCATTGTTTTCCCCTCTAATTTTTTTCAAATGTAAATTAAATTTATTTTTTCCCCATGAAAGTACACACATTTATTTATTATTGAGCTTGGAAAATAAAGTACATGTTATAATTTGTGAGCATACTTTTAGAGGCAGAAAGATGTGAGCATATAACTCTCTTTTAAAAAATGTTAACCTGAAGGCTAAGTTTAATTTTTGTACAAAAATATTTAAAATGGAACATGAGATGTGAACATTATGTTGCAGATTGAAGACACCAGCATTCGGTACATCCCGCACGAGTCTTGCCGTACAAATAAGGGCGTGCTTGAAGAGGAACAAAAGTACCGGAATCTCTTCCTCAATGTAGATCTCAAGGCCAACTTTTACTTCAGGTATATAATAATATAATAGCTGTTTCAGCGTTGATTAGACCGTAGGCCTGTCGCCGATTCTTGTACTTTTCGTGACTTGTCCACAGGAGATCTAAAAACAAGTCCGTCGACCGGATCTTTTCCAAACTGACGATAGTTTGAATAGCTACTAGATTTATACCGGGTTCGATATGGTGCTAGGCATTTCATGCCTGAACATATATTTATCCATACCTTTTTCTAGTAGTTCTTGAACGCGTTTATAATCGGTCGTAGCGTCAACGATATAATTGAGGAGGCTATTGGCATTGCACATGTCGGTGATTCGAAGCAAGAAAAATGTTGTCGCATGGTAAAACCAGATTTATAGTTCACCCACAAAGCTTCTAGACCATAAATTATTACAAAAAAAATGTTACATGATCACAGTTTTTGTTCAACACATATTTCATTCCAGGAGAGCGTATTATTTACATTAGTCCGACTTTGGAGGAGGTAAGTTCCTCATTCTCAGCACAGGTCTGCACAGCTGATACTGACACTCTGACAGCGGCTTTAATCTGAAACCGCTGAAAGTGTGGCTGAACCTGAAAAAATCGTTAGACTGACGTGTGAAAGTAACCTTCCCGCAATTTGAGTTTGAGCAGATTTCAAAGGATTTTGTTACTCATTTTATTTAACTTAGGGAAAGCAGCTAATGATTCAATTTTTTCTGGGTCCTCTGCAGATGGTCTGATGATCTGATCTGAGTGATCTCTGATCATCTGATGCCATGGCGGTTGGCAGATTCCAATGGTGTCTCAACACTTCAAACAGTTTCATGATCAATTTATAAGTCACGCATAACTGGTTTTTAAGATCTTGAAGACATAATGAAATGATTATTATGACTTTTTTTGATAACCTTTTTGGATTGTGCTGTTGAGCCTGTTGTGGGCACTTGTGGCATAACTGGCATTGTGCCCTTGTGGGAAATTCAACTCAGGCATAAAAAATTGCTTACCCTTACTACTACCAGTGTACAGAGTACAGTTAAAATATTGTTCGATATATTGAAAAAACTAATAAGAAAATTGCGAATAAAACAAATTCTCTGGTCTTCAATGAAACCTGCTTGAAAGAATATATAGCAGATTATATGAAAGTATAGCTACAATCTGCTAAGTGTTATATCATAGTCATCCATATTATAATAAACAACTCTAGTCAAGTTTGATGCTCAATATTGCTTGTATAATAATGTTATCCTCAGAAGAAAAAATTTTAAGGCTATACATTTTTACTTTATGTTCAAGTTATTTAAAGCAAGGCAATCCTGTCCTCAAATATCTAGGCAGTGGCTTATTTTCTCGTGAATTATTTGTATCAACACTTCTAGCCAAAAATAATAAACAAATTTATTCCTCTCACTGATTGGCAAATGGTATGCAAATGGTAGAAAATTCTTCAATATTAATGCATCAATTTATATTTTTCTTGACAGCTATAGCTACGACTTGACGCACACGCTTCAGTACAACCTTGCTCCTCCAAACGGCAACATAAAGCTTGGTGAGATAATCATGGCGACGTGTCACTTTTATGGCATCTTCCAGCAGAACGTTGTCTGATTGAGAATTAAAATTTTCTCTCAAACACGTTTTCCTGTATCATCCGCAACTTCTTGAATATAATTTCCCATAAAGGTGTAAAATATACCAATTTCAGAGTTGATAAAAAAATATAGTCTGTAGGTACATAGCTGTTTTCCATAAACGTTATTAATTATCAATATTTTTGAAGATAGAATCCAAAGTGTGTTATCCTTATCTAGCACGCAATTAAAGAAAAAATAGTTTTGTTTCAAATTATATGATATGAAACCTATTTTTTATTGTTATTAGCCATGTCTGTTGAATGATTTCATTTCTTTTTCAACTTGGTTATTTCATAACAAAATTTTGTGTCAGGAGTATAGGTAGGTATATCAAGATATACTGTTTACTTTAGAATTTCGGTAAAATTTTCCTATATAAAAGGCATTGTAACCAATTTGGCCTCCATTTTCATGTAATAGGTGATGGTATAAATGTTAATTAGCATAAAGCCTTAATTCTGAAAACAAAACGTATTCATTCAGACAAGCACAAATTTTTTCATGTAGCAGAACGTGACACCTAATAAAATAATACCAATTGGGTTAAAAACTTTTAGTATGTGAGATAACTACACCGTTTGTTCCCAGGTACAGACGTGTTTTTTTTTTGTACTATTAAATGGATATTCATATTGTGCGCAGTGGCAGCGGATGAACTGGAGTGCTTCCTACCTGACGATCGCTATCAGTTACCAGGGTCAGTTAACTTCTTCTTTAATATAAATCTTTAACTCCACCATATAGAGTATGTTTCTGCTTAAAGTTTAGGTAATAATTATGACCAATTGAAACCCTTTTGGCAATTGAACTCGAAAGGAGTCCAGGTCTTTTGAGTGTTCACTTTAAATTTATTGAAAAAATAATCTCGGAAAGATATTTTTTGTACTAAATTGGATTCAATCAATTCCCAAGCATGGAAAAAATGCCAAAAAAGGCTTTTTGTGAAAGAAATTCATCTCACTATGAATGCATACAAAATAATAGCGTGTGATATTTTTTCAGAATAATTATATCTATAGAGCAACAATCAACAATGATTGCATAAAGGAAATGTTGTCGTGTAATATTTTATCATATATTATAATTGAATCTAATTATAAATGAATGTAATGTTTGTGCAGGTTCACAGAAGAGCAGGATTACTTTGCCTACTGCCCCGTGCCCGACGCGCGCTACGTCTGGAACAGCTACCTGCTCGACGTCGCCCCTGACCTCCACCCCTCATGGAGGCTCTGCATCACGCACGGCTTCATCGAACAGGTGCCCTCTCAACCTATTGTGAACCAATAGAGAATTTTGGGGGATTGTGAACCAATAGAGAATTTTGGGGGATTGTGAACCAATAGAGAATTTTGGGGGATTGTGAACCAATAGAGAATTTTGGGGGATTGTGAATCAATAGAGAAATTTGGGGGATTGTGAACCAATAGAGAATTTTGGGGGATTTTTTGGGGGATTGTGAACCAATAGAGAAATTTGAGGGATTGTGAACCAATAGAGAATTTTGGGGGATTGTGAACCAATAGAGAAATTTGTGGGATTGTGAACCAATAGAGAAATTTGGGGGATTGTGAACCAATAGAAAAATTTGGGGGATTGTGAACAAATAGAGAAATTTGTGGGATTGTGAACCAATAGAAAAATTTGGGGGATTGTGAACCAATAGAGAAATTTGTGGGATTGTGAACCAATAGAGAAATTTGTGGGATGATGAACCAATAGAGAAATTTGGGGGATTGTGAACCAATAGAGAAATTTGGGGTATTGTGAACCAATAGAGAAATTTGGGGGATTCTGAACCTATAGAGAATTTTGGGGGATTGTGAACCAATAGAGAAATTTGGGGGATTGTGAACCAATAGAGAAATTTGGGGGATTGTGAACCAATAGAGAAATTTGGGGGATTGTGAACCAATAGAGGAATTTGGGGAATTGTGAACCAATAGAGAATCGTGGACCTATTGATCAGGTTCTCTGAATTTTGAACCAATAGTGTCGATTAATTAAACAATAGAACAGGTGCTCTCAATTGTGAACCAATAAATCTGGTGCTCTAATTAATGAACCGAGTGTATGAATATAATGGCCTGGTAATTGTAATTGTACAATTATAATCCAATAAAAGGAAGGCAATGGAGCAGGTTCATCGAACGTATACCAATAAACTTGATGCCAATATAAACTCATGACCAAATTCGACATGAGTGGTCATACCAATAATCAATTATATTTGATATTCATCGTTAATAACCTGTTACATGTTCTACTTTATTGCTTAAAGGTTAATATTAATGTCATAATCTTCATTCTTCCATTTCTCTTGAGATTATTCGGACGGTAATTTGTTTATAACGTAGTACAATTTTCAATGTTATTTAGTATTTATTCAAGACCTTAATTTTAATAAATATAACCCATGCTTTATCATGTCCCGTTGCGATGCTTTCTGAAGTTCCAATTTTTTTGCACAAAAGTTTGCAACTATTGACACAAACAGCAGAGAAACGATTATAAAATTGTTTACAATCACATATCAGTAGTACTGGTATTACAACATTAATTAGTACAATTTTATTTAATATTCAACCATAATATTATTTATGGCCAGGTCGACATCAGCGTGTTCGGGCACTCGTACTTCCTGACGCTGATAGCACGGCGCTCTCGTATGTACGCAGGCACCCGCTTCCTCAAGAGAGGAACTAATTTCGAGGTGAGATACATGCCAGGGTTGAGTGATGCTTGCACTAATTAAGGCATTTAATAATTCTTGAACTTATTCATCCAAGTGATGCCTTGTTTAATTAAATTGTCGATTACTTAATGCATGGACCACGTGAGGCTAACATAGATTGCATTTTTGGATTGAGCAATAATTGCACTAGTTAATCCAAGTGATGCTTGAATTAATTTGAATTTATAAATTTTTGGACTAAGTTATTCTTAACGTCTGCGTTTCGCACTTCTGCCGGGAAATGTGTTCTAGACTTGCAGGCCTCGTGTTTTTTTGTCGGCGACGAGTGTCAGGTATAAAATTGCTGTTATTTTGGTCACAGGGAGCCGAGTGCCAGATTTAAAATTGTTATTTTGGTCGCAGGGAGATGTGGCTAACGAGGTGGAGACTGAGCAGATCGTCTTCGACAGCGACAGAGCCGACCTTCCTGATGGACGATTCACGTCATTTGTTCAGGTTAGCAATTGTACTATTGAAACTTGCAACATTTTTATGCGTACTCGAGTAACTCAAATTAAACAGCGTCTAATGAGGCACCGTTTGCCTTAGAGCTTCATATTCATGAATCCAAAATGCATGCCAGTTGCTTGTGAATAGAATTACAAGTCAATGTCAAGATCTCTAGCCATGCAAGAGCCTCTTGCCTTTTTGCCATTAAATTATCTTTTATTCAGTTATTGGTCATGTCTTTTTAAAATCACCACGAGTTCCAAATCTTCTGGGTATTCCTGACTTGTAAATAAGGTTTTCAATCAGACATACAAGCTATTAAGAGCCGGTCAAATGACAAGTATCGATGGAAGAGTGCAGATTCAACGAGTTCAAGCTAACGTGTTGCATTATTATTGCACTTACCTTGAGGGCAGCATGGTGATAGCCAAGCCCGAACAACTGCCCTACCATTCATGGTTGCATGATGATTGGTCCATCATGCTCCTGTAATGATCCGTTTCTGAAAGTGCTCTCATTTTCTTGATAGGTATCGCTCCCCGGCAACATTCGAATTACCCTGAATTAAACATTCAAATTGCCCTAAATTAATCATTCGAATTACCCATTTGGATTACCCTGAATTAACCCTTCGAATTACCCTGAATTAACATTTTGAATTACCCTGAATTACCCATTCGAATTACCCTGAATTAATCATTCGAATCATCCTAAATTACCCATTCGAATTACCATGAATTACCCATTCGAATTACCCTGAAGTAACCATTCGAATTACCCTGAATTACCCATTCGAATTACCCATTCGAATTACCCTGAATTACCCATTCGAATTACCCTGAATTAACATTTTGAATTACCCTGAATTACCCATTCAAATTACCCTGAATTAATCATTCGAATTACCCTGAATTACCCATTCGAATTACCCTGAATTACCCATTCGAATTACTCTGAATTATCCCGATGGTGTCCCCGTGTGTGCAGGTGCGGGGCAGCATCCCCCTGATGTGGTCCCAGGACGGGTCCAGGGCCCCACGCCCCCCCATCACCATCTTCCTGAACGACCCCTACGCCGTCGCTGCAGGTCTGCGCCCATGCCTTTACTTGATCCTCTTGAGACTGCATAGTTTTGACACTACAAGCATACCTATTGTTGTACATTTGTAGCTATGCAGTCCACAAGGATTAATTGCTTGCCGTGAAATTCGATTTTTTTCATCAGACTGAAATACCTATACTATATACCAATAGTCAAGTGTGCCCACTTTGCTTCATTTCTTTTGTAGGGATACAAGCCTCCAACTTCAACGATCTAAAAAAAAACTCAACTTCTACCTAAATTTCAAGATGTAAAGTAATTTTGACTGCTCTCCAGTCTCCACTGATCTTCAGATTTAGTTAGCAAATGTGTGGTTTGTGGAATTTTTCAATAGTTGTGTTCTTGGGCTTCAATCATTAATTCGATGACTACGATACATCTGTTGCAAAAATTTTTTTTCGGGCCGTCATCCTCGCAGACAATTATTTGACGTAGGGAAAAACATTACTTAGAGAAATTTTAGTCATGTCCTGAGTGTTAGCTATACTACTTCTTGAAGCGACTTTATTTTCTCTATGCAAGAAATCTGTGCTTAAGTTGCCCAAAACCGGTTAGTTTGCTTGAAAAAGTTCAATTATTTAACAGGGCGACATTTTAACCGCCTGCTGAAGCGGCACGGGTCACCTGTGCTCGTCTTGGACCTGACGAAGCGTAACGAGACCCGCAACTTCGAGAGCATCCTGGGCCCTCACTACCGCGACCTCATCGACCAGCTCAACGTGTCCACGCTGCCTTACTTCGCTATCGACTACCGCAACATCGACATGGCATACCTCAACAAACGGTGAGGAGGGCGGGGCATACCTCAACAAACGGTGAGGAGGGTGGGGCATACCTCAACAAACGGTGAGGAGGGCGGGGCATGCCTCAACAAACGGTGAGGAGGGCGGGGCATAGCTCAACAAACGGTGAGGAGGGCGGGGCATACCTCAACAAACGGTGAGGAGAGGCGTGGGTGGAGCATACCTCAACCCTTGCTTTTTGTTTCACTCTGCTTGACTTGTGGCATTAAACTCAGTTTAACAATGCTTGGTTTGCGACATTCTGCTTAGATAGCGAGACATTTTCCTTAAGATATTGAGACATTGTCCTTGGATATGGAGGCACTGTGTTTAGTTTGAGCCAGTGCTATGTCTCCTCGCAGGCCTAAGGACAACGCTATGAACCACCTCTTCAAATACTCAACGTGGGCCCTGAATCGCACCGGCATCTTTTTCACGCCATCGTCGTCGAGGTGAGTACCAATATCATCACAGTCTTCAGGCAAATGACGTTTAATAAACGTTATTCCTAGGGCAGATGCCTGTTTTTTTGGTGGCTCCTGTGATTTGTACGTCGTTCGCTTGTTGCATCTTATAATTTACGTATATGTCTTATGGTTATCTGCACTTTGTTGAAGGTGCATATCGAGTTGGTGATAAATATTCCAGTTGAATGGGCTTGATATGAAAATCATCTAATTATATGTATTTTATCTTAGCAATTATCTTTCACAAATGCCGTTTGACGTGCAGAACGCCTGCAATCCAAATAACATATGTGCTGAAGCTATGAATTCATCCGCTTTGTGCTCATTCTATAGTCAAAACAAGCGTTTTGGGTTATTATGCTCGAACCTCTGAATAAGTTCACTTGATTTAACTGTCCACGGACCAAAACGGGCGTACGTATATATTCACTTCTTCAAGTATAAATTCAATTAATGTTGGTAATTTTTATTAAACCTCACAATATGCTCAGTTAATTCTACTGCATGGCTCATCGTTTCATTGCTCCAGATCCAATATGAGTGTATGTATTCAATCAATTGTTTATATTTAAATTATTTAACGTTTGGTAACTCTGCTTATATTCCTTTTATTTCACTGCATAGATCCCCGTAATTTCACTGCATGGCCTCCTTAATTTCACTGCTCCAGGACCAATATGGGTGTATATATTTAATCAATTGTTTATATATAAATCCATTTAATGTTTGGTAACTCTGCTAATATTCCCTTAATTTCACTGCTCCAGGACCAACACGCCTGTATATATTTACAGATCAGGTGGCCACTCAGCAGCTGTGCACCAGACGGGCACTGTGCGCGTGAACTGCGTAGACTGCCTCGACCGCACCAACACCGCGCAGTTCGCCCTCGCCAAGTGCGCCCTTGCGCACCAGGTCAGCCTTATCCTCCACTGTAGTCACTTGGTGACAGTGGTCAATCGAATCATATTATTTTATACTGCTTATGGGGCTGGAAGAGGAGTTTTATTTATTGTGCTCTACGAATCATTCGACCGCACTGGCACGGCGCAGTTCGCCCTCGCGCATCAGGTCAGCCTTATCCGCCACTGTGGTCACTCGCTGACAGTGGTCAATCTAGTTACATTATAATATACTGATTATGGGGCTGGAAGATGAGATTTATTGATTGCGCTTTACAATTCACGCGACCGCACCGGCACGGCGCAGTTCGCCCACGCGCATCAGGTCAGCCTTATCTTCCACTTATTTTACTCGGTGACAGTCATAAGTCAAAGTACATCGTATATTCCTTCTTATGTCTTAAGATTTACTGGTTGTTTTTTAAACTTCAAGCTAAGGAAGTTTTTGCTTTTAATTTTTTCTTAGCGTTAACTTTGTTGCGAATGCACTGCACACAAATGAGTCTTGATTAATGTATATAAGCCAGTAATTACCTGCAAGATTTAAAATGATTTTTTTTCTGTTTATCGAAGCCCTATTTTATCCCGTGAACATAGCAAGATGTTATGAATTGAGGAAATAAAATATATTTTGTTAAAATAAATTTTATGCTCTCGCATCAAACTGAGCTCATATAAAAGGTTGAAACAAACCAGTACTCGGTTGAGTTTCCGCTGAACCCAACCAGACTCAGAAATAAAAAGTTTCATAGAGGAAGACATCGGAGACGCCGAGTACGGAGACGAAGCAGAAACTCAACAGACCAAGTAGCCCACAACGAGGATCAGCCTACCTATCCTATGTATCATGGCTACTGGAAATTTAGAAAGACCGCGGCCACTGCTAGTTTTGTTTCGACTTAGAATAGATGTTTTAAATTTGCAGCTGTGCACCAGACGGGCACTGTGCGCGTGAACTGCGTAGACTGCCTCGACCGCACCAACACCGCGCAGTTCGCCCTCGCCAAGTGCGCCCTCGCGCACCAGGTCAGCCTTATCCGCCACTGTAGTCACTCGATCGCGGACTGTGGTCAATCTAATTACTTTATAATATACTGCTTCTGGGGCTGGAAGATAAGTTTTATTGATTGTGTTCTACGAATCATTCGACCGCACCGGCACGGCGCAGTTCGCCCACGCGCAATTATGGCATTTGTGATCACTGCATAATATTGATATTACTGCTGCTCTTGATTCCTGCATAATATTGTTGTTCTTTGCTGCTGTCTGTTGCTGCAGCTGTTGCTTGCTGCCTAATATTGTTATCTGTTGCTGCAGCTGCTGCTTGTTGCACAATATTGTTGTTGTTTGCTACACAATATTGTTGTTATATACTGCCTGATATATCTGCTGCTAGCTACTAAGTATTGCTGTCTGCTGCAGCTGTACCAGCTTGGAGTGCTAGACGAGCCTCACATCTCGTGGGACAGCGACGTGCTGCACGTGCTGGAGGACCTGTACGAGGACCACGGCGACACCATGGCGCTGCAGTACGGCGGCTCGCAGCTCGTACATCGCATACAGACATACCGGCACACTGCCAAGTGGAGCAGTCACGGCTCTGATATGATGCAGTCACTGTCACGCTGCTACAGTAACAGGTTCTCAGGTCAGATATGGTGCAGTCACTGTCACGCTGCTACAGTAACAGGTTCTCAGGTCAGATATGGTGCAGTCACTGTCACGCTGCTACAGTAACAGGTTCTCAGGTCAGACATGATGCAGTCACTGTCACGCTGCTACAGTAACAGGTTCTCAGGTCAGATATGGTGCAGTCACTGTCACGCTGCTACAGTAACAGGTTCTCAGGTCAGATATGGTGCAGTCACTGTCACGCTGCTACAGTAACAGGTTCTCAGGTCAGACATGATGCAGTCACTGTCACGCTGCTACAGTAACAGGTTCTCAGGTCAGA